ACTCCCAGTGCCCTGATGGGAACCAGTGCTGGCCAGGAAGACCACAAAGGGGAGCAGAACATGCCACCCGAAAGTGTGCCACTTTGGTGTGTGGATTATTTTGAACTGAAGGGAGTTAAGACCCTGAAAACTTAGGAAAACCTTTTTACCTCTTCCTTAACTGCCTGAAAAGTGAACATGTTAGTCACTCAGTCCCGTCCAATTCTTTGTGACCCCATGGACTGTAGCCCACCAGGCTCCTCTGTCCAGGTGATTCTCCAGGCAAGAATACTGGAGTGGGTTGCCATTGTCCTTCTGACCCAGGACCTTCCTGACCCAGGGATCGAATCTTCTTGGCAGGCAGATTCTTTACTGTCTGAGCTATCAGGGAAGCCTAAGAGATTTTTAAAAGGAAGCCTGTACCAAAAAGACAGCTCTTACCAGAGATAACTTTTTTCTAATCTGAGAGACTTACCTGCATGGGTAATATCTGATGCCAACCATCTGCTCTTCCCATCTTCCTGTGAATGGCCCTTGTCCCCCTGGGGTCAATGGCACTCCAGACCCCTAACCCTTTCCTCAGCTCAGGATGGCAGCAAAGCCTCAATTGGCCAACTGCCTTTGCATCTTCTGTCTTTGTGGGGCTCCAGGATGCACATAATTTGTTTTTCTCCTATTAATTTGTCATCTGTCAATTTAATTATTACCCCAGCCAAAGAATCTAGAATGGAGGAAAAGAATCCTTTTCTTCCCCAACAATGAAGAGATGAAGTTCTAGCACAAGGGAGGGAGGGGAAGGAGGAAGGAAGAAAAGACTGGGATGAAAAAGAGGGAGAAGAGAGGAGAAAGAGGTGCCAGCAACTCAATCAACATTACTCCTTGGTTTCTAAATCAGCACTTTTCTATCACTCCTCTTCCCAAGCTCCACTTGAGCAAATACGTGTGCTAAGTCGCTTCAGTCGTGTCTGACTCTTTGTGACCCCATAGACTGTAGCCCACCAGGCTCCTCTGTCCATGGGATTCTCCAGGCAAGAATACTGGAGTGGGTTGTCATACCCACCTCCAGGGGATCTTCCCGAGCCAGGGATCGAACCCCGGGTCTCCTGCATCTCCTGCATTGCAGGCGAATTCATTACCACTGAGCCACTGGGAAGCTGAGCAAATATAAAGAAGCAAATTGTTTCAGAAATCCTAGTTTCACTTTACATCTCCATTGCTAAACCAGAGACATAATAACAAGCCTGTTTGTTTCATGATTTTTAGGACATGAACAGAGGGAAGGAAGAATATTCTTGGCAGCTTACCTCTTTTTTTAAAGTCTTCGTAATTTCCTGTTAATTTAAGACTGAACCTTTGCCAGGTAAATAACACAGGTAAAGATAAACTTCACTGGCCCTGGACTCTGACCTTTGTTGAACGCCCCGCCCCTCTCCGTCTGATCTAGCCTCGTCTCACGACTGCAAAGTTTGGAATTGTTACCTGGAAATTTTGAGCCAGAGAATAAATAGCTGAAGAGGCACAGCATATTGATTTTATACTAGTGACAGTATAAGAACACCAGCACATTTGAGAGTTCCTCTCCAGTCAGCTGATAAGTTTTCCTCTCTTTCTCAAAAAGGTAACCAAATGGAGTCAATTTCCTTTCCATGTTCCTGGCAGGACTCTTACCCACTCTGCCACCTCCCAGCTTATGCCCACCCAGGCTGTGCTTTGCCAGTATTGCACAGAACAATTTACTTAGACAAGAGTAATTTAAATAAGTATTTAATCCCTTGTTCTCCCTATTGTTGAGCACTCCTATATTTCTCTTCTTGTTGGAAGGCTTCCTGTAACAATGATTCCAAAGAGGGGCTGTATATGATAAAGGGGTTATATCCTTTATATACCTGATAATCTAGCTAGAGATCAAAATCTAGGTTCCAAGTTCTTTCTCTTTGATACTTTAAAAATATTATTCAGCTGTTTTCTTAAATCCAGTGTTACTGTTTAGAAATTTGAAGTCAATTGATTTTTGTTCCTTCCTCACCCCTCTGCTATCCTGTTTCCTGGAGCATAGAGGTAATGGCTGGAGCTTTCGCTGCTAGTTTGAATCATGAGGACAAGATGGAGGAATAGTGATCCAGAATGAAACCTGTGTCTTCAAAGACCCAGTAAAACAGAGCTACAACATCAGCCATGAACTATCCATCTTTAAACTTCTACAACAGAGAAAAAGAAATGTTCATTGTGTTTATGCCTCTGTTATGTGTAGTCTGTGTCATTAGCAGCTACAATGAATCTGATTTCATGTATTGATTAAATCTGCATTAGCTTATACTTTCCATAAATCTGATTAATTTCCTCAGTGAGTTCCTGTTCACCAGATATCAGCTATCTTGGCTGGCAGCAGGTAAACATGAAAGGGACTGAAATTTAGGTTTTATCTTGAGCTCCCTCCTAGTGAGCTCAAGGAATATGAGTGGGCCTGGGAATGGCCTCTGGCATGACAGTGTGAATTTGGCAACTCCCCATGTGCCACCACCCCCCCACCCTCATCAGGGAACTTGTGGGCACACTCTCCTGGCACTGCTCTTTGCAGAAGCAGCCCTTGTGGTTGGAATGCCCTGGTCCTGCCAGGGGAAAGAAGGGACTGCTAGGCTGCAAATCTACTTGTCTGTACTTCTGCCCTCAACCTGATGTTACCATCTGGGGCTGTTTTCAGTGCCATGGGAGGCGGGGTGGGGAGAGGCTAGAGTTAGGCAATGATCTGGTGGGGAGAAAAGAACACATCACAAGGTGATCGATCACTCAGCCTATCCTCTTCCAGGGTACCCAGCTCTCATCTGGAAAGGGTTTCTGTGTCTCTCCCACACATGTGGCCTCCCTGCTGTGGCCTCCAGGAAGGTGGGGGTGGGGAGGGCACATCTCATGGTTTTTAGGTTTGTCTCTCCGTCTTCTTCAACCTCCCTCTTGCTTCCATATAGCACCTTCAGGTTTGTATTCACGGGAGTGTGCCAGCATCTTGTCAGCCCCACATTTTTTCATTGAACTGATCACCATCTGAAGCTGATATTTATACATGTACTTGTTTATGGTCTTTCTCTCGAAACCTCCACTAGATCTGCAGCTCCACAAAGGTAGCAATTTCGCCTGTTCGCAGCTGCCTTCCCAGCAGCGGGCACAGTGCATGGTAGAGATGCTCAATAAACCCAGATTGTTGATGGAATCACTGAGCTGGTGCTGGAACATAACCTGATTCCAGCACAGGGATTCCTGCTCCATATGTTGTGCTTTTCCCACCTAAGTCCCTGGATCTCCTGGGCAAAGATGGTGTAGAGAGGCAAGAGGTCATATTAACTAAGACCCCAACAATGATATTGGGTCCTTCCCCAAACACTGGCTGAAATCACTGCTGGGTGATCAGACCTAGGGCCAGGCTCCTCTGTCCATGGAATCCTCACTGCTTGAGCTCAAGAAAGCTTTGTTTTAATTGAATGGACATACAAACTCTCCAGGAAGAGGTGTTTCAACATAATTATAAGGGGCAGGAAACAGGGTAACTACAAGAGCAGTTTGGGGGTTATATGGTGAAGGAGAGATTGGAATGCTAACGTGTTCTTGACCCAAAAGGGCCTTTGGTCTATACCGTGTCATAGAGGGTAGGTAAAGAGCCTTGACCAGCGCTGCCCTCGCCACTCATTTCATGTGGCTATTTACACTTAATTAAAATGTAATAAAATCCAAAATTCAGTTTCTCAGTAGCACTAGCCAGATTTCAAGTGCTCCATAATAGCCACATATGGCTAGGAGCTATTGCACTGGACAGTTGTTGTTTAGTCGCTTAGTCCTGTCTGACACTTCTGCGACCCCATGGCCTGGAGCCCACCAGGCTCCTCTCTCCACGAGATTTACCAGGCCAGAATACTGGAGTGGGTTGCCATTTCCTCCTCCAGGGGATCTTCCCAACCCAGGGATCAAACCTGCATCTCTGGCATTGCGGGCAGATTCTTTACCGCTGAACCACTCGGGAAGCCAACACTGGACAGTACAGATAATATATAAAACCCTTTCATCATCACAGAATGTTCTATTGGACAAAGCTGACTTAGACCCTTAGAATGAAAGGAAATGCATTCCTACTGCTGACCTGGCCTGCTGACATTCTCTTGTCCTCCAGCCCATCCCCACGTCTCCAGCACACACATATATCAAAAGAGCATCCCGTCCCCACAGACTTACTGCGCCACAGGGAGCAACACTATCTGCCTTTACTTCCAGGGTCCTGCAGGTCATAGGATTTATTGAAACGATGAGCCCTCAAAAAGTTTTTGTTCAAGGCTGAAGGCCCAAAAAGTGAGTCAAGGACCGAAGTAACAGAAGAGACTCCTGCTTCCCTTCTTTTCTCACCTCAACCCTCTTCTCTGGTGCCCCCCCCCCCAACACACACACACATACACCCGCCCCAAATTCCAAAGCAGCAGTCAGGGACAGTCCCGCCTCCAAAATTTCCTGTCACCACACCACGAGAACTCCTCAGAAATATCTGCTCCAGGTCTCAGAGCAGTCTTGCTTGTGAAGATACATTTATTCACATGATCATTTTCTGTCTTACTCCACCTTCCACTCCTGTGCACTTAGCAGAAGTGTGAGCTGCCCAGTCGTGTCTGCCTCTATGTGACCCCATGGACTGTAGCCCACGGGGCTCCTCTGTCCGTGGAATTCTCCAGGCAAGAGTCCGGAGAGGGTGGCCATTCCCTTCTCCAGTGCACCTAGTAGGCGTTCAGTAAATGCTGGATGAACGGCTCAGTTTCCCCTTCTCTGCCGCCGGGGGACCGCGGGAGGCGCCACCCTTAGAGGGCTGGCGGGGGAGAAAGCCCCCGCCCAGTACCCGGCTGAAGCGGGGCGATCCTGCCCTCGGGCCGGGGGTCGGGGGAGGCGCAGCCCTGGAGGCGTGTCCTCCCGGGCCCGGCGCCGCCGCCCCGAGAGGCGGGCAGCTGGCCCGGCAGGGCCGCAGCGGCCGCAGAGGTCGGGCGGCCGCGAGCATGGAGAGCGAGTTGGAGGCGCTGGCCGCCCGGCCCGAGAGCCCGGGCGAGCCGCCCTTCCAGGCGCTGGTGGAGGCGGCGGGCGGCCGCGGGCAGGTGCTACTGGTGGGCGAGCTGTGGGAGCGCGAGCAGAGCCGCGCGCTCCTGTGGGACTTCGCCCGAGCAGTGTTCCCGCCCCAGCAAGCCGCGGGCAAGCCCGGCGGCGGGGCCGCCGAGGGCGCGGGACCCGGGGCTCCCGGCGTGCCGAAAAGGCACGCGACCGGGGCGCGCGCCATCCGCTCGCCGCTCGTCTTCGTGCTGTGCCGCGCGTCGTCGCTGGCCGCCCGGGGGCCGCGGCGCCACCTGCGGGAGATGCTGCGGGATGTGCGAGGCCGGCGGCGGGCCGGCGCGGCGCTGGTCGGGGTGCTGGTGGCCGAGGCGGAGCCGGAGGACGCGGGGGCCCCGGAGCTGCGGCTGCTGGAGGCTCTGCTGCGCACGGTGTTCGGCCGCCAGGCGGGAGGCCCGGTGCAGGCGGCCGCCTACCGCCCCGGCCACCCGGCTTCCAGCCTGGCGGTTCAGGCGGCCGCCTGCAGGGCCCTGCAAGCCGCCGGGCCCTGGCGCCCAGGTGAGGGGGGCGCGAGGCCCGCGGGGCGCGGGCGGGCGGCGGCTGGACACCGCATTGGGAGCTCTTTAGGCCAGCGCCCCACCACCCCCGCCTCGTGGTACCCCGAGGTAAACTGAGGCCGGGAGAGAGGCGGTGCCTAGCCCTAGGCCTCCCAACTAGGGCGGAGCGGGGCCCTGGGCAAGGGGCCGAGGCTGTCCCGGGAGGACCCTGAGTGCATGTGAAATAGAGGGTCTTAGGAAAGCCCAAGGGACAAGCAGAAGGCAGGGGAGGTTGGTAGAGAGAGGGCTGGACGGCGCTGGGCAAAGATCTGGAAGTTTCCGGGAGGGGAAGGAGGGGGAGGAGACGGGAAAGCCTTGAGAAGCGCCAGTTTAAAGGTGAGAGGATCGCAGGATCGGGACCAGGGGGTTTCTGGTCTGGGAGCTTCTAGGACGCTCGCTGCTAGGGATGCGGAATGCGCTACGGATACGATGGTGAAGCGATGGTGAAGCGCCGTGGGGTCAAAGGAACAAGGCAAGGAATAAATGCGGGGCACTTGGAAGTTGGGGGAAAAGGATGTGAGGGACTGAGGCACAGGCTTTCCCAGTCCTTCTTGACTGCCCACCGCGGTGTCTGCCTCTCTTCCCTCCCCACACTCCTAAGGAGAGGGGAAGGAAGTGGGGGTCTTTTCCCAGCCCCGGTGACTGCTGCCATCAGCAAAAGGGTGAGAATCTTCTCCATCGTGGTACACAAGGTCTTACAGAAGCTTTCCAGGGCCCCGAGATTAAAATACGGACGCTAAGTATAGCTGGACCTGGCAAAGCTAGGAAATGCCAGAGCGATCTTTGCACTTCTAGCATCCTTCTCCTACTCCTCTCTCCAGCACCTGCCGCCCTCCAAGCCTTCCAGCCTCTGCCAACCCTTCTTGCTACAGTTTCTTAAGATAGAGGCTGTATTCTGCCTCCCTGGGCATTCGTGTGTTAACTCAGCAACTGGGTGATGCCAGACTTAACGGGGGTGGGGATGGGTCTCCTTTTCCAGCAAGGAGAGCTGGTACCCCTGATGTCACAGGCTTCCCTGCCAACTTGGCCGGCCTAGGTGAAGACCATCCCTTTCAGCTGTAGAGCCTGTCCTAACCTCCCCGACCCCTTCCCACATCTATTCTGTTGAGTCTGTGAGAAAGCCAGCTAAATTTGAAACTCAGTGTGTAGCATCTTGAAAGACATGAAGAATGTCCCGAGGTGGATTGTCATTCAGATTGGTGCTGCCAGCACCTTTGCTGACCTGGCCCCATGGGGAAAATTTTCTGTTCCTTAGTGAATTTGTGCCTAGAAAATTACCTGAGCCCTTAGTTTCTTAGCGATCTACTATTCCCAGGGAACAACTTTTTAATTCCCCAGAGCCAAGCTTGCTCTGGCCTCCACTTTTTTTTACATTGCAGTTGCATGAAAAGCATTTTCTTCCATCCTCCTTTTCCTCTCACCATTTAGAAGTGGACTTCCTCCTCCAGAAAGCCTTCCCTGACCCACTCCCATTTGCAAGTTCACAAATGAAACCCCAGAACCCGCTTCTGCTCTCCAAGCTCTTACTACGGTGGTTTTGTCACTTTCCCTTGTGAGTTTCATCACCACTGTATTCCCATTTCCTGACACCCTGCTCGGCACACAGAATCCTTGCCTCCTTTTAAACAGAAACACTTAAAATCTTTTAACAGTTTGAGAGGGACTCATTCTCTATTGCATTAAAGTCAATTATACTTTCATCAGAACGTATTGAACATGAAACCTTTCATTAATGACTGAAGGTCATGGGTGTAATTATAACTCATTGTCCAGAAATTCCTCTCAGGCTTTTGCGGTAGGCTATGCCATGGATTCATGCTGCTAAGGTTTTGCTAGTGATAGCAAAGTTTTCCAGTCTCTTCCCTCACCGTCTGGTGGCTATTCTTAGACTTTTAGGCTACCTGCCTCTTGCTAGTGCTTGTTTAGTCTGTGTATGCTTAATACAGCTGTCTTTTGGTTGCAAAACTAAGGACCCAATCTTATTAAATTGGGTACAAATTAAGAGTATATGGGCCCCACAGAAAGAATTATAAATAAGGATTTTCTGTGTTTTGGCTCTCTGGAGTCCTTTTTTAAAACTTTGTTCCAGTTGACCTGATTCCAGATGGTTAGGGATCCCCAGATAACTGAGGTGGTACTATAATAAGGAAACTCGAATCAACATGTAATTATTTTATGTGTGATTATCAAAAAAGATTAATTCTGTTCCTATTAAGAAATAGTTTGATGGATTTTTCAAGAATAGTTGAATGGCCATCATTTAAAAATACAAATAATAAATGTTGAAGAGGGTTTGAAGAAATGGGAACCGCTCGCTACACTGTTGGTAGGAATGTAAAGTGGAGCAGCCACAATGGAAAACAGCATGGAGGGTCCTCAAAAAAACAAAAATAGAGTCGCCACGTGATCCGGCAGTCCCACTCTTGGTCATATATCCAAAGAAAGCCATAATTCAAAAAGGTCCATACACCCCTATGTTCACAGCAGCACTATTTACAATAGCCAAAACATGGAGACAACGTAAGTGTCCATTGACAGATGGATGGATAAAGAAGATGTGAGATATATATAGAAAATGAAATATTACTCAGCCATAACAAAGAATGAAATAATGTCATTTATATATATATATAAAATGAAATATTACTCAGCCATAACAAAGAAATAATGTCATTTATATATATACATAATGAAATATTACTCAGCCATAACAAAGAATGAAATAATGTCTTTTATATATATATATAATGAAATATTACTCAGCCATAACAAAGAATGAAATAATGTCATTTGCAGCAACATGGACAGACTTAGAGATTATCTTACTGAGCGAATGAAGTAAGTCAGAAAGAGAAAGACAAATATCATATGATATCACTTATATGTGGAATTTAAAATATGACACATATCTATAAAGAGCATATCTATAAAACAGAAGACTCACAGAGATAGAGAACAGACTTGTGGCTGCCAAGGAGGAGGGGTCATGGGGAAGGAAAGGATTGAGAGCTTGGGATTAGCAGATGCAAACAAGTATATATAGGAGGGATAAACAGCAAAGTCCTACTGTACAGCACTGGGAGCTATATTCAATATCCTTTGATAAACATAAATGGAAAAGAATATATTTTTTAAATGTCTGTATGTGTATAACTGAGTCAGTTTGTGGCACAGCAGAAATTAGCACAACACTGTAAATCAACTATACTTCAATAAAATTTTAAAGACTTGTTTGAACTAAAAAATCAAGGGAGGAGGTTTATGGCTCCTTGAATTTTTTCTTTGGTGCTATATAATTGTAATTAACTTCACGTCATTTTTGTTACTGTAGTTTCTCCAATATGGTACCTACATAGGGTTTCTGTGAAAATGAAATGAAGTAATATCAATATATATAAAAACAATTGGGTTTTTTTTGTTGTTGTTAAGTTCGAAAACCCTACCCCCTTTTGCAAATTAGAATCTTTTTTTTTTTTTTTTTTTAGTTAGTGGAAACTAGGGCGGTTGACAGCTGAAACTTTGGTTGCTGAACTGAAAATTCTCTGAATTGCATCAAGAATCATTGACCCACGGCCTCTGAGACTTTGTGTTCTTTCTAACAGAAGGAGCCTGGGACAGACCAGGCCTTCCAGCACTGCTGGCGTGCTTTTCCTGGGGTTCCTGGAGCCGGGGGAAGGACCCAGATACCAGCTCCCGCAGTGGTCCAGCTCAGGGTGAGTGTGTCGCCTTCCTGGCCTCCTGAACCCTGAGAAGGGGCTCGGGGTTACAGTCAGGTGCTCACAGGGGCCGGAGGGATGGAGTGGACCAACATCCATGAGGGGGTGGTGTAGGGGGGTGGGGTGGGGTGCAGTCTCCGCCTAAGGAAGGCCGTGTGGGTGGGGCTGTAGGCAGATGTCAGACCTGGGGCACCTGGAGCCAAAAGCATTGTTCCCTGCCTTGCCCCACACCCGCGCCCCTGCCCCCCACCAACCAAGGATCCTGGGAGGTTCCTCAGAGCAAGTGACTTTTGAGCTAAGGGTTGGGGGATTTTCTTAGCCAGAAACGGGAAAGCTTTGGAGAGGGAGCACCATGAACCAAGGCTTGACAGCATGATGTCAAGCTCAGAAAAAGGACCCCTGCCCAGAGGGCCCGGCGGGTGAGGGGTGGGGTGAGATAAATGCATAAGAGGATTGGTGAGGGCCGAGGTTGAAGAAGAGAGTCAGAACCAAATCAGGGCCCTGGCCCCAGGTCTCTGAGGAATAGGGTACCACTGGCGACTTCTGAGCAAAGGCGCGCAGATGTGGGTGTTAAAGAGGTGGCTGGACTGCAGGAGCAGGGGCGGACCAGAGGCAGAGCCCAGCTAAGAGGGACCTGCATCCTGCTGCGGCTCTGGGGTCCCTGCCTTGCAGGCTGTCACCTCCGGGAGGCCCTGAAATTGCCTCCTCGCCCAGGCTCTCTCACTCATGGCGGCTGTTCCTTCCATCAGCAAGAGAATCTCCAGCCTCCTGTAACATAATGTAATCACAGGAGGGACAACCCATCACCTTTGGCACAAACCGAAATCAATGGCCTGACTATCTCATCATATTCACAGGTCCCACCCACACGCAAAGGAGGGGATTATGCAGGCTAAGTGCCCCAAGGAGTGGGAAACTTGCTGTCTTAGAATTCTGCCCACACAACTGAAAGCTTAAAAAATACAAAAGGAGAAACACAAATATTAAAAAATCATTCGTTTCATTCCCTCTCTCAAAGGTAACTATAATTTGGATAGACTACTCTGTCTGTCTCCCTAGCTACCTATTTATAGCACCTTGTACTATTTACATTTTAATAAATTCACTTCTATATTATAGATAAATCATCTGCAAAATGCATCACATATTTAAAATATTTAATTACAAAAATGTTAACTTCAATCTCTGCATCATTTTGGATGTATCTGGAAACTAAAGGGAAAGAAAGTGAAGGAATCATAAACAACTTTATGTAAGTCTTTGATCACTTCCCTCTGTAGCATAGAACAGATTGTTTAGTCTCAGAAGTAGAAGTGAATATATTAAGATGCAAATTGCATGTACAGACCATATGTATACATTTATAATGTAGATCATAAATAGTAGATTATACATACATACATATACTGTTTTAGAGTCTGCTTTCTTCATCAGTAACATAGTGTGACTGTGCAATATTCCACAGCAACAATTACATGTCAGCATCTTTCATCTTCTTTTTTCTTTGAGGTAATCATAGATTCACACACAGTTGGAAGAGACCATGTGAAGAGTTTCTATGTACATCTTGCCCAGTTTTCCCCTATGGTAACTTCTTGCAAAACAATAGGATAATATGGACAACCTGGATAAGGACACTGAAACAATCCACAAGCCTTATTCAGATCTCCCTAATTCTACTTGCGTTTGTGCATGTGTTTAGTCTTAGGGAATTTTATACATCATTTTTAATGCCTGAATCCCATCATATGACTGAGTAAGCGATAGTTTACTCAGCCAATCCCTTTGTCAGACCTTATATCAATTAGGGTGCTCTCAGCTCCGGGTGAAGAAACCATGATGCAAACTAGTATCAACAGCCAGGGAATTCATTATCTCACCTAAAAGACAGTCTAGAGATGGAATCAGCTTCAGGGCTCAATGATTCAGGGGCCCAGCGACCCCATCAAGGACCTAGGCTCTTTCCTTGTCTCTGCCGGGCTGTCCGTGCTGTTTCATCTGTAGGCTGGTAGCAAGATGGCTGGAGCAGTTCAACTACTGCTAGTGCTATGCTGCTGCTAAGTCGCTTTAGTCGTGTCCGACTCTTTGCAACCCCATGGACTGTAACCTGCCAGGCTCCTCTCTCTATGGGATTCTTCAGGCTAAAATACTGGAATGGGTTGCCATGCCCTCCTCCAGGAGATCTTCCTGACCCAGGGATTGAGCTCAGTCTCCTGTCTCCTGCCCTGCAAGCAGATTCTTGACTGCTGAGCCACCACCACTGGGAATTCTAATTATTCCTAATTATTTCCTTAGGATAAAATCCTAGAAGTGGAATTGCTGGGTCAAAGGGTATGTACCTTTTTAAGGTTTTTGCTACGTATTTTGTTGGGATTTTAAAGTAGATAGTTACTGGGGCCAACTTCGCTTTCATTCCCAGCGTACCCACTCAGAAACTTGGTCCTCTCACTCGGTGATTCCTTCTCTTGTGTTCCAGGTGACCTCCAGGACTCTGAGGAGGAGCTGGTACTGATGGCAGTATATCCCAATGGAGATTGCGAGGACCCCGGAAAGGGGTCAAAACCCTGTGACAGAGTTGTCTCTGCTCCCACTGAGCCCACCGGAGACTTGAGATGAAGGCTGGACCCTGGCTGCCCCAGCTCTAACCTGCAAACTTGGAGCTGGCTCTTCTCACTGAGTCGCCCTGCCTCCATGTTGACCTTGGGATGCTGGTAACTACAAGGCCCCACCTTCCAGAGGCTATTGCATTGACATGTTACCAGCCAGGCAGTGAGACTTACGAAGCTAAGTAGGGAAATGTATCCTCGGGGAACCTGCCCCCCACTTCGCATCTGCTCATTCACTGGTCACAGTGGGGTTATGATTTCTTTCTGTGGTTTCTCTATGCCATTGAGACAGACAGCTATGGGCTTTGAGGTCCTGTGGTGCTGTGACATCCTGTCATTGTTTGCATGCGCATCCATCATTTCGAGAGCAGCTGGACCAGAAATCATCAGATCTAAGAGAGGAGCCCTGGACCTGTCACTCAACCTTTGGGGCTTCTAGTTCTCAAACATGTAGGAGTGCTACCAACCCAGTGGCTCTCAACCAGGGGCCAGGTTACCCCTCCAGGCAGCAATGGAAATTGTATTGTGTGTGTGTGTGTGTACTGGGAGAGTCACTGCGACTATGGGGCACCCCTGGAATTTAGTGGGCACCTCACAGTGTACGGGACAATCTCCAATGGTGCAAAATTGTTCCATTAAAAATGCCAGTCATGGCAACTTTGAGAAACGTTAGGTGAGACTATCTCCTCCCAGTTAAATTCTAGGAAGAGTCCCCAGAGCAGAGAGAATTGGGTTTCCCAGGGCTTTGGCTCCCAGAGCAAGCCAGAATAAAGATGCACTGCCACCCTGGGGGGCCTCTGGGGCCAGAGCCAAGATTGTCCATATGCTGCAGGCCCAGAGCATAAGTAGTTTTCCACATCTTTTTTCTCCACATTGACATTGACCTTCTGTGCCAAGTTCTTTGAGAATAAAGATGCTGGGAACTGACCATGTCACCAAACGAAAGGAAAGTTAGGGGTAGGAATTACAAGAGCATAGGATTTGTTTTGGATCTCAGGTTCGGTCCTAACACAAGATCAAAGCTGATGAAACCCAGAGGTGCCAAGTTCCAGAATCCTTTTTTCTCTGCTTATGAGACTCTGACTCCATCAGAGTCAATGATGTCCCCTTAAAAGTCAGAAAGACCATCTGTTTACTCAGAGAGGGAACTCTGTATTACCTCCCTTGTCCCCTCACCTGCCCCTGGAGAAATCCAGTCTTTAGAATGGCAAGGAGAGCTCTGATTTTCCCAAGCAGAAAGCACTATCTGTGGGAAGCAGCTAAATGCGTTCATTCATGCATGATTCATTCAGCAGACATGCAGTTGTGACTGCTGTTTGCCCAGCACTCTGCAAGATGCTGCATAACTTGTGTTGGTTACTTCAGCTCTTGCTATGATGGCAAACAAACATGGAATGGGAAACCTGCGGCCCAGGAGCTCTTTGATGTTAAGGAGGAGGCCTTTCTGCTCCAGGCCTCCTGTTTATTCTAACAGGGAGCCTAATCCATATCGGACTTCCCAAGTGACACTAGCGGTAAAGACTCCGCCTGCCAATGCAGAAGAGGCAGGTTTGATCCCTGGGTCAGGAAGATCCCCTGGAGGAGGACACGACAACCCACTTCTGTATTCTTGCCTGGAAAAAGTCCAGAGGGTCAAAAAGAGTTGGACATGACTGAGCATACACACACAATCCATTTCAATGTGAGGGCAGGTAGGATGACGGGAAGGACCCAGCTGACTTCCCCACACAAGAATGGATCAATGAACTGCTGTTGGTTTTGTTTTAAAACAAGGAGCCCCATTCCTTCAACCATGGCTACCTCCTGGGAAGAGAGGAAGCGGGAGAGGAGCCTACGTCCCACTGTCACCCAAGTCCTCCAGCCGTGCAAGCTGTTCACCTGCACCCCCCTGCAAGCTGGATCCAGAGTTGCAGGCAGACCAATTTCTAAATCAGTATTATCTCAACTGGAGGCTAAGACTGCAGAGGCCTCTACGGTATTTAGTGGGGCCCAGAGTGGCGTGTCTCAGTTAATCCAGAGGGAGTTCAGACCAGTGCAGTCAGCAGAGATGCTGAGACGGTGGCCACGTTTGTTGGTGCATTTGTGCAACAACAGGAGTGGCTGGTTCCAATGCTGGTATTGGAACAGTCTTCGGCAGCCTCATCGTTAATTATGCCAGAAACCCTTTTCTGAAGCAGCAGCTGTTCTCATATGCTATCCTGGAATTTTTTTTTTTTTTTTTTTGGCCAAACCACATGGCATGTGGGATCTTAGTTTCCAGACCAGGGATCAAACCCACATCCCCTGCACTGCAAGGTGGAGACTTTACCACTGGACTGCCGGGAAAGTCCCTGATGATTGCTTTCTTGAATTTTGTTTGCCATGTAACAGAAATTACTGCTTGAAATGTTGGCATTCGTATTAATTATGGATGTAATTCTGTATATCTTACTGTGACTCTGAAAACCGTAGTGCTGGTGTCAGGGAAATGTACATTATTTCCAAAGTCATTTCGTTAAAGATGAAAACTTTAAAAAATAAAAAGGAATTAAAATGGGAAGGCTGGTGATTTTGAATCTGCTATATATTTCTATTTCTCTGTTAAATCTGTTTGTAATAATTTGAAGTTTTTTTTATTTGGTGGAGGGAGGGAGCTTTTTTAAGAAATTGTCTAAGGCAGAAGTCACAAGACAGCAGCCTCTGCTGTGTTTAAAAATCTTTTGTAGGGATTGCCCTGGTAGTCCAGTGATTAAGACTCCACCTTCTAATGTAGGGGATGTGGGTTTGATCCAAAGTAAGAGAGCAACTGAGCCCATGCACCACAAAGAAGAGTCTGCCGCTACTGAGACCCACAAGTAAGTTTGCAAACCTCTGGTGTGAAGGGTGGTTTGGTGGTGCTCAGTCGCTTCAGTCACATCCGACCCTCTGCAACCCCATGGACCGTAGCCCACCAGGCTTCTCTGTCCATGAGATTTCCCAGGCGAGAATACTGGAGTGGATGCCATTCCCTTCTCCAGGAGATCTTCCAGACGCAGGGATCAAACCCAGGTCTCCTCCATCTCCTGCATTGTAGGCGGATTCTTTACCGCCAAGTCGCTGGGGAAGCCCAAAAGGTGGTTTACACATGATTTTTTCATTAGTTCAATATTTTGTGTGAATAGTTGAAGAGAGCAAGTCTTTCTTTACTGAGATTTGGGTTCTGCCTCCCGAATGTTAAATGGGACTGAGACCTACGTTTGCTTCCTCCGGGCAGGGTCTCCTCCCCTCCCCACCCCACAGTCCCTGCTTGGAAGGCCTGGCCCACCTTCTCTGCCATCTTGAGAAATTGCTAAGACAAGCCCCATCCTTTCAGGAAGTATGGTTCCTGTCCTCCAGTAGACAGTAGAGTTGGATCCCAGAGGGATGACCCTGATGGTGAGTCTCTTCTCTAAGGACGCTTCACAAGGTGCAAAGGTCGGGTTGGGCCTGTCGGAGGGGGCAATTAGAACAACAGTACCAGGAGCCATCAGCGAGGGGCCTCTGGTCAGTTCCCAGTGTGGACTCTTGGGGGCCAGTCTTTCTAATATGGCAGTGGTTGTGCTACTTCTGACTTGAACCAAGAATTCCTAATAGCTAATAAAATCAACCCCTGCCTCATTGATGTCTAGTCAAAAACAAAATGGATCTTCCCCTTTATTCTCATAAAATGTTTCTTGAAGGGACCCTTGGGAGCAGGGCATCTGGGCGAATGGCAGGACCTCTGGAATCATCTGGTCTGAAAATCCCCCAGTCCTGGCCCGGGTGACGTGTCCACAACCACATTGGTTGGGATTGGAAAACCGGCAGCTGGAAAGTATTAGTAAATATTTTAAAAGAGACTGCTTTTTTTCTTTAAAGATAGCATTTAGCTTGGTATTTATTAGGGTGTGTGTCTGCACACACGAATATTTAACAGGCCAGACAGCCTAACGGAGTCTCAGAGAACCCTTTATACTACGTGCGTCACGGTTTCCTCTCAAAGCATTTGTCTACAAGAGGACTCTGCACAGGGGTCCCTTGGTGATCAAACCACAAGCTTAAGGCAAAGTTGCAAAGGGGCCAGGAGCTGAGGCCCCCAAACCTGTCATCTAAACAAGCCTCTCTCACCCAGGACAGACCACCTAGGACCCCACGTGCCTGGAGAAGGTTGGCGGTGGCCACGTTAACCTGAAAGCCATCCATACTGTAGCAGATCCCCACTGCAGGGCTGTTCCTGTGGTCAGGAGGCCGCACTTTGTCCTGTTTGGGAGGCAAACACAGCCCACACAGTGGAGGAAGCCAGTTATTTCGGAGGAAGCCGCTTATTTAGTATGCAAGTCCTGCATAACCCCCTTGTGACCTGGTTTTGGGTGTAAGTGGCTCAAGGATTGGGACAGAAGTGGAAGCTGCCCTGGGCAGCCTGCCACATGATTACGTGTGGAAAGTTCAGGGGGAAACAGGGTACAAGGCAGGAGTGATGTCCAGGATCCCACATGTATCCCTGAAGCCTTTGGTCCCCGGGCCAGAACCCTCCGGTTGCCTTCTATCTGGGGCTGCCTAATTGGAGCAGGGGCTTCACTAGTGGCTCCGTGGTAAAGAATCCGCCTGCATTGCAGGAGACATGGGTTTGATCCCTGGGTTGGGAGGAGCCCCTGGAGAAGCGCGTGGCTACCCACTCCAGTACTCTTGCCTGGAGGATCCCATGGGCAGAGGAGCCTGGTGGGCTACAGTCCATGTGGTCGCAAAGAGTCAGACACGACTGAATGACTAACACACACATACAGTATGGAGCAGAGGCAGAGACTGAGCCATGCTGTGGTTCACAGAGATCTCAGAATTCGACTCCGAGGAACCATGGTGTGTGACTGACCGGGCACTGAGACCTCTGTGGGACCAGGGCTTTGACAAGAGCGTGAATCTTGTCTGGTTTCCTCCCTGAGCTGCCCAGTCCCAGCCAGGCCTCCTCCTGCAAGTACAGACCAGTGCATTTCTGAGACAGAAATTCAGATTTTAAGTCTTAAGTCATGCTTGTGACTGTCCTGCTCTGCATTTATTTGGAGTAATTAGGGGCTTAGCTTACTCCTTATGACCAAGCCGTCATAACGAGTCCTGGTGGCAGAAACCAGGCCTTTGTCTTGTCACAGGAGTTCTTTCTCTTCCTCACTGGTTGACAAGGTCTTCTCAGAGCAGGGTGTGGCCTCAGATCACTGCCCCAACCCCAGAAGGCCTCCAGCCTGACCACCCTGACCCTCCCCCCGTCCCAGGGGCACTGCGCTCGCTCTCCAGAACTCCTAGCTGCCACGGCGGTCACTCCCAGCCCCTTAACCCCAGAGAGAGGCGGGTCTCATGTTCAGCTTCTGTCCCCCGGTCTGGTCTGGCCCTGCCTGTGCCACCACAAGGAGCAGCCATGACTATGAAGTAAGGCAAAGGGCCTGGCCCGAATCCAAGGGCAGAGGGACTGAGGCCTTTGGGTGAGTCTAGACCAGCTTGTCTCAGGAGAACCTACAGGCACATATGTTGCTTTAGCTTTTCTAGTAGCCATATTGTAAAAAAGATAAAAAGAAACAGAGGAAATAATTTAAATAACATTTTATTTAGCTCAGTATGTCCAAAATAGTATCATTCCAACTGCAAATATTTTTAATACATTTTAATGAGACATTTTGCATCTTTGAAATCCCAGTGAGAATTTTACACTTCAGATATTAAGTTTTTATTCAAAATACTTAATCTATATTTAGATTTTATTAAATTTACAGTTGCAAAAATAGATTTACATCTTCAGATTGTTCCACATACACTTACAAATTGTCCAGTGACGGAACTGGGTGTCCGTTTTTAAATATCAATGGAAAAAAATTGCAATTTAATTTAAAATCAGTTCCTGGGTTGCCCTAACCACATTTCAAGTGGCCACCTGGGGGTAGTAGCCATCGGATAGAATAGCCAGAGTGCAGGAGACCTCTCCTGAGGGTACACTGTGACTCCTCCCACCCCTGGCCACTAGCCCAGAGCTGGCTCATCATCTTAGACCTTTCACTCTCTCAGCCACCCTAGCCTCCACTCCGGACCCTATACCCCCCACGCCCTCCCCCCAACCCCGCCGTGAGGGGACAGTGGCTTCCAGCATCAGCTTGTCCATGGCAGACTTTCAGTTGCCCAAGATAGGCGTTACCTTCCTAGGCACTGTCCTTTGAGGAAAGAGACACCAATGTCTTCGATGGCTTCCAGGGTTCTCTCATGCTTTAGTCCATTCAGGCCAATTCCAGCCCCAGCCTGGCATTTCCCTCCAACGGAGCACCTACCCACTGGAGGCCCAAGTCCCCATCTACATTTCCCATTTCTACTCCATGAATAAGTGCTTTCAGTCAAAAAGCATGTGGCCTGCGGGCTGTACGTGAAGCAACCAGTAGCCGCGTGACCAGCTTTTCTGCCCGCTGTTCTCTGCCAAGCCCTTGATGAGAGCACCTCCTGGCACTAGCCCGCCTGCCACGTAGGTGGACCCACCCCCTACAGAGCAGAACTACTGTGCAACAGGAACCTGATCCCTGGTGTCCTGGGACCGACAGCGGCACCTTATCACTTTGTACCTTATCACTCGGCAGCTCAGAAAGCGATCCCTGGCAGTCCAGTGATTAAAGACACAGGGCTGGAAAAGAGGGAGAAAGGAGAAAGGCAGAAAGAGAGAGGAAGGGAAGGAGAGAGGGAGAGAGACAGAGAAAGAAGGTAGGAGGGAGGGAGAAAGCATGAGGAAGGGAAGGAGAAAGACAGAGACAGGGACACAGAGACAGAGAGGCAGAGCCAGGAAAAGGACACGTGCACAGGCAGTCTTCTGAATATCTGCCTGTGCTTTCTGAGCTCATCACCTCTTTGGAGATCAAGATCACTCCCATGAAAAGTGGGTCTGACATGTACCCCAATGTTCATTGCAGCACTGTTTACAATAGCCAGGACGTGGAAGCAACCTAGATGTCCACCGGCAGACGAATGGATAAGAAAGCTATGGTACATATACACAATGGAATATTACTCAGCCATGAAAAAGAATGCATTTGAATCAGTTCTAATGAGGTAGATGAAACTGGAGCCTATAATGCAGAGTGAAGTAAATCAGAAAGAAAAACACCAATACAGTATATTAACACATATATATGGAATTTAGAAAGATGGTAACGATGACCCTATATGTGAGACAGCAAAAGAGACACAGTAAAGAAGAGACTTTTGGACTCTGGGAGAAGGCGAGGGTGGGATGATTTGAAAGAATAGCATTGAAACATGTATATTACCATATGTGAAATAGATCCCCAGTCCAGGTTCAATGCATGAGACAGGGTGCTCAGGGCTGGTGCACTGGGATGACCCTGAGGGATGGGATGGGGAGGGAGGTGGGAAGGGGTTCAGGATGGGGAACACATGTACACGTATGGCTGATTCATGTCAATGTATGGCAAAAACCACTACAATATTGTAAAGTAATTAGCCTCCAATTAAATAAATTTAAAAAAAAAGAAAAGTGGGTCTGCCACCCTCAGCTCAGCCACCAGCACTTGTCTTTGGCAGCCCCAGGGGGCCACTTGAAATGTGGCTAGTACAACCCAGGAACTGACTTTAAATTAAATTAAAATTTTATTTCATCGAAATTTAAATACCGACACCCAATTCAGTCATCGGACAACGTTTAAGTATATGTGTCTAATACCTCTAAGTAGAGGAGCTGTCCCTTGAGTTCTGCCCCTGCCCTTGATTGGAATGGATGGTGTTGTTTGGTATTGTTTGTTTGTTTTAAATCCCTGGCGGGAGAGCAAAGATCCGGCATGCCAGGTGACAAGGCCAAAAATAAATAAGTAGATACAATTCGCTTAAAATACCTGTTGTAAAAATCAATCAATTAATCAATAATTTTTATTTATTTTTTTTTTCATTTATTTTTATTAGTTGGAGGCTAATTACTTTACATCATTGCAGTGGTTTTTGTCATACATTGAAATGAATTAGCCATGGATTTACATGTATTCCCCATCCCGGTCCCCCCTCCCACCTCCCTCTCCACCCGATCCCTCTGGGTCTTCCCAGTGCACCAGGCCCGAGCACTTGTCTCATGCACCCAACCTGGGCTGGTGATCTGTTTCATCAATAATTTTTTAAAAAGGCCCAGAGCTTCCAGTAGAGGGGGCAGGGCTTCCATCCCTGGTTGGGGAACTAGGATCCCGCATGCCAAAAGGAGGCCAAAAAAAATTTTTTTTCAAAAAAAGCAAATTAAAAAAAAAGTAGCGGGGGTGTGGAAAGCAATCAAATCCAGTTCTTCACAGGAGGACCGAGCCCTCCGAAAACCCAGGATTTAAATGCCAGAAGGCTTACGGACTGGGCGGGGGCGGAGAGGAAGGTGGGGCAGCGGATAGAGGGTGCTCGCTTTGGAGAGCTCGCCCCTTCCCACTTTCTCCGCCTTCTGGGAGGTGCTGCAACCACAAGAGGGCGCTGCGAGGGCCGCGGAGATGCTCCCGCTACGCTTCGGACTTGAATCCTGCTCAAGGTCGGTATGAAAATGAAAGTGAAAGTCGCTCGGTCGTGTCGGACTCTTTGCGACCCCATGGATAGTCCATGGAATTCTCCAGGCCAGAATACTGGAATGTGGGTAGCCTTTCCCTTCTCCAGGGGATCTTCCCAATCCAGGGATCGAACCGGGATCTCCTGCATTGCAGGCGGATTCTTTACCCACTGAGCTTCGGGGAAGCCCCAAGGTGGGTATATCTGCAAAGAAAAATCAGAATCATGGTTTCCTCCCTTCACTCTGAAAGAGACCCCGGCCCAGCCCATACGTGCGTTAGACCACAGCTGACCTCACTGGGGCTTTGACATCTTTTGTGTTACACCTAAGTATGGAGGGAGATTGTTGTTTTATGAACGAGCACTGGGTAAGAATCCTTTCTGTGGTCTTGCTGCGTCCTCTGAAAAGAAATCATTTTAAAGTCTTGGAGAGGCATGGGTTTCTAAGACATAGGTCTGAGTTCTAGCCTTGTGCCATTGGTCTAAGAAACATGTATGGATCATCTATTATGTGCGTGACCCTGTGCTAGCTACCACAGGAGACACGGAGATGAATAAGATGTGGCTGTGCCCTGGAGTAGTTCCTGTCTAGTTGGAGATATGATTATAGCTGTGTGGGGTAAAGGCTGTAAATGGACACATTGTAGGGTGGTCAAGGAAGGCTTCCTGGAGGAGGTGTGGCTTGACTGGAACTCAGGACAAGTCTGGTTAGCTGGGTGTGAGGGGGAGAAGGCCTTGAAGGTAGAAGGGAGGTCAGAGACAAGGTACACGGCTGCACAGCTGCTCAGGATGGCAGGAGTGTGGCCCACGGGGCAGAGGAGTGGGGTATGCAGGTGGAGGGTAGGCAGGGTTGGGTGAAAGTCCTGGAGGAGCTTGGAGGAGAGTCCCTGTCTTCCTTTTTTTGAGTAGTGCTCCAAGCTGGCTGTGAAGAACTGCCTGCAGAATTGTGAGATGGTGAGCAGGAAGTCAAGGCTGTTGGGAGCTGCTGCAGCCAAGAAAGAAGAGGGGAAATTTATTTTTCTTATAAATAGTAGTTTGTACCTTTCCACCTACTTCACCCAAGTTACCAACTTTAAAAATTCCAAGGATTTCACAAAAAATTCTGATTTCCGGCTTTTCTTGGAAAAAAATCATAAGCCCGCATCTTGGCAGACCACCACAGTAGGAGCGAGCAGCCACTGCTCTCTTTAAATGGGGTGGGCATGCGTTCGCAATCGCTCAGTCCAACTCTTTGCGACCCTTTGGATTGTAGCTTGCCAGGCTCCTCTGTCTATGGGAGTTTTCAGGCAAGAATACTGGAACGGGTTGCCATTTTCCTTCTCCAGGGGATCTTGGAGGAGGAAACCTCCAGAGATTGAACCTGTATCTCCTGTGTCTCCTGTATTCCAGGTGGATTCTTTACCCACTGAGCTATCAGGAAAGCCCTGAAACGGGGCATCATTCTTCATTTTGTCACAGTCACCACTCCACTCTACCGCCCCCACCACTACCACACACACACACACACACACACACGTATCAGTTTCCATGCAGTATCCTGCTGAGCTGGTGTTTTCTTGCATTAGACTTGCTTCACTCATTTCCACTACCTGTTAGCGTTTGTATCTGATTCTTTTAGGATTTGGGGGCACACAAGAGTCTTTATGTGAGTGATCAGTCAGAGTACCTCTGTAAAATAATACTTCCAAACACTCAGCCTGTTTGTTTTTCATGCACACTTCTGAGGGCAGTGCCTTTTAATTCTTCAAAAGTGTTTAATAATTATATTTAATATATTTTAACATATAGCTTTTAAGAATACTAATTTTTTTTAGTTGATGACATTCAAGTGTGTCATCAATCAAATTTTATTTCAACTGAGAAACATTGGTTTGTGTAACTAGGTTAAATTGTTTTGAAAAGGCCTCAGAAATAAGCTTTAGTAATCACTATCCAGTTGAAGAGTAGCTTGATAGTGCGAGGCTAGAGGCTTTAAAATGCCACTATTTGTCACTCATGTTTGTCAAGATTTTCTCAGTACTGACTATTGAAGTAAATTGTCTATTAAAGCTGGAATAAAACCGCAGATGGCAATCACAACTGCCATTTCAAATTGGATATACTAAAAAACAGGAACCCGCCGCTATGGCGGGTGAGAGGAACTGGGCAGATGGAAGGCAATAATGACATTTTTTTTTCATTTGGAACACTTTTTACTGTATATCTTTGTATACTTCTGATTTTTAAATCATTTACAATATTCACTACTCCAAATGTAAATTAAAACCTTCCTTGTTCAACTTTATGATAAACAAGTGATTACCTAGGGATTCACTGTGATACGATAATAGAGCACTAATGTGAGGATTTCTTTTGAAGCTGGGCTCCCCTTTTTAAAAATTGTGAAAATCACTTTTCTAAGAAAGTGCTCTTCGCCCTACCCAGACCCCCAAAGGTTTGGCTGGGGGGCGCTGCAGGGAGACCGCCTAGACAGCAGGTGGCGTTGTGAACATCGAGAGAGCCTCCCCCTCAACCTCCCTTTTCTCAGCAATGGCGGGTGACGGTGGGGTCCTTTTTCTAGGGGTGGCTATTCTGAAGCCTGACCCCAGGTGCGGACGCGGGTTCCCGTCCCCGCGGTAGCTGCGGCCTCGAGGAGGGTTAGAGACGACCATGGAGCTCTTCGTGCACCCCCGTCCCGCGCGAGGCGGTGCGGCAGCGGCGGCCCGGGGAGACACAGGCCCAGGGGGCAGAATTCGCGCCGGGTGGCAGGCGGAGTCGCGGGCAGCTCTGGGGCGGGCAGGGTCCTGGGTGAGAAGCGAGCCGGCGGCCTGAGGAGGCGACTGACTTGAGCAGGGCACCTGGGGGGAGCCAGGAGGCGCGGCGAAGCGAGCGGGCCCTGAGCTGACAGATACACGGCGCGGCCGGAGCGGCAAGCGAGCGGGCGGGCGAGTGCGGGGCGCAGCCATGATCACTTCGGCCGGTGAGTGGGGCCGCAGCCGGCGCCGCCAGGGAGGAGCCGCCACGCCGGCTTTTAGCTGAGTCAGGGCCGGTGACTGGGCACCTCCCGGCGGAGGCGCCGCGCGCCTCGCTGTCCAAAGCCCACCTCCGGGCGGGAGCTGGCCGTGCGGCCCGGCCTCTCCGAGGGGGGACCCGCGACCACCTCCGGCTCTGAGGGAAAAATCGCGCTGGGGTGGACCGGCTCGTCGTCCCTCCCCAGCCACTCCCCCTGACCGGTGCCCGGACCCGAGGGGCTTCCCGGGCGGGTCTTCGACCCCGACGGCTTTTCCTTAAATCCCTCCCTCCCGAAGTTGAGCGTGTGGGGCCGTCCGATCCCAGCCCTTTCTCGCGGGTGATTAGGGTGGGATGGTCCCCCCTGTGCAGCCGGACGGTAAGGCAGCCCATGCTACACAGTACTTCCCGACCTGACCCAGCTCTTGTCTTCTTTGGAGTGAAATCTAAATTAAACGAGAGCTGGGACAGGTTGTTTCTGAGTCTGTTCCAAGGATTTTTAATTAAGGCACCCCGAGAACTTTTCCTCTGTACTGAGAATCAGCCTATGGTTTTGAGGCTGGATGCAAGGTAACTCTGCTACCTTTAAGAAGAAACTCTTGGGTGTGCGGGCAGGTTTCCTCCACTTAACCCTTGCGCGCGTGGGTTCGTGAAATGAGGTTTGCAGCGGGAATCAGCTCTGAAGTCAGTTTTCAAGTGAAGATTTTTAAGCCCTTCACTACAGGTCGATCTGCACAAGGTTGTCCACAGTGTTGGTGCCTTTTTTTTTTTTTTTTTGCCGGCTCACAGACCTTTTTCTCGTCCTGTTTTACTCTACACTTGTCCCTCAAGTGTTTTGTTGTAAACAAACTGATGATCAGAAGACAGTGACTTGTACTTTTAAGGAACTTGTGTTTATGAGGATTGCATAAATTGGCGGAGACCCTGGAAGGCATAATTTTACACTTGAAGAAATGCCACCAGCACACAGAATAGACTTTTGTTTTAATTCAGTATAAGTAAAAGCTTTTCCAGTCAGAATTCTGTAATGATAAAATTAGCGTTAAATTTCTTACCACTTGTAAATGTAAGACTCATTGTTTTTCAGATTCATCTTCTTAGCCCAGAGCACCTTCATCTCTTGCCTGGGTTGCTTTGAGAGCCCTAAGATTGTTTTTCCAATATTATCTCCATATAGTTTATTCTTCTTGTTGTAGTCAGAGTATTCTTTCTTAAACTTTAATCACATAATATTTTTCTGCTTAGAATCCTTCAGTGCTCTATTGTGTTTATAATAAAAAACAAGTTTAAAGACCTACATGATTTGATTCCTGCTTTCTCTTGTACTCCGCTTTTCTTTGGTTTTACATAATCATACTGACCTTTCTATTCCTTGAATATGTCAGTTTCTTTCCTACGGGCCGTATCACATTCTCTTCTCCCTTTCTAAACTCTTCTTCCTCAAGTTTTCCATTAGCTTCTCAGTCCTTAGTTTCCAATCAAATTTTAGTCTTCCCTGATCATCCTATTAAAACATGCTGGGTCTCTCCCCCTCATCCATCCCCTTCCTTCATTACAGTCCTGTAATTACTTTATTTACCTGACTACTGTCTTTCTGTCTGTGGTAGAATTTTGGGCAGGAAACCTTTCATAATTCTTAGAACAACTGCCAAGCAGATGGCAGAATTTCAAAAGTGTATCTTGAATGAAGAAATCAGTTAACTAATCAAATCAATAAATCAGTCACTAGAGTATTTGAAGGAGAGGCTAAAAAGAAAACACTTGTATGGAACTTAATAGAATTTAAACCTGATGATTTTTGAAGTCCTGCTCTGAGACTCTGTGATGATAGAATAGTACCTATTTGTTACTCTGATTGGTTACATTTACAGGATTACTTAATCAGCTTCTGCTCCAAACCTTTTGTCACCTGATTTCCTGTTCTTTGGCTGGCTGTGGTTTAGGATCTGTCCCTGGTGCTAAAGAGAAGCTAACAGGTTCCAGTTCGGATTAGTCAGTTTATTTGTTCATTTATGGTCTAGGCACTTGCAGGACACTACAAACACAGTGGCGAATAAAAAGTCAGCGTGTACTGTTAAGTTTTTCAAGAGTTTTGGCTGTGAAAGGGAGTGGAGAAATAGAGATATAGGGGGTTATTAAGAGGGAGATACGAGAATGAAATTCCTTGAGGCAGCTGTTTCAACTTTCAAGCTGTGTCTTCTGGAGCATAGCTTCATGTTTATGAATAATATGCTATTTTAAATAATGCTATAAGTTGATACAGCAACTTAGATAGTACTTGCTGACTCCGTATTATGGCACAGGAGATTTTTTAGCATCCTGAAATGTTTCCCATTCCCCAGGTGCACCCATCCCCCATCTAAAGGTGAGTTCTCCTGTTTTTAAGATGCGAAATATTTGTGTATGGAGTGTAGGTATTTGATTTCATTGTGTTCCATGGACAATGGCTGCACTTCTAAGCCAGGATAACCATGTAACGCATTAGTCATAAGTGAAACCAAACAGGAGAGTGTACGAGAATCCATCACGTCTTTTGGTAAAAGCAGTTCAGGTATACCATTGGTTGTTGATAAGGGGATGGGTAGCATTTTTAGTATTTTGATTAAGCATTCTGCTGTCTGCCATCTGTTCCAGATTTAAGGCACTCTTCTCTATCAGCTCTTCACTGTCACTAGTTTCCAATCTCCCCCCACACCCCACATTACCTTCTTTAATCTGTTTTCTCTTCATTCTTTCAATTCAGCTTCTCTGTTCTGGGTTTGTTATACCAACCTACAGCACCAAGAAGTTCCTTTTATCTGCATTTAAAGTTTTAGATTAGTAATATGCCCTAGCTAGAACCATGGCATAGTTTCCTTTGCTGAATTTTGTGTCTTTTCCCATATGACTGTCTAAAGAACCATGGCATAGTTTCCTTTGCTGAATTTTGTGTCTTTTCCCATATGACTGTCTAAAGATTGCTGAAGCTGTTTGGCAGACCTACACTTACCACTTAGAAATGGCTACATCTACTAAGGAAAGTTGCCTTGACACTTTTTGTATCAGCCAGTTTAGTTTCCATTATGGTTCAAGGACAGTAATTTCCCACTTTTTTTTTTCTTCCTTAATAATCCCTTTGATATGTGACTGTATTTCAGGATGCATTTTGGGGAGAGAACAGTTATTTCCTCTACTCTCCACTGTTGGTGCCAACACCTCAGGCTCACATGGGGATTGCTTTGCTTCAGTAACTGATATCAGAACAAGTGAGATTGCTCATCATTTAGCAAAACCCTGTAGGTTACTTGTGATACAACACAGGTGCCTTAATCTAAGCATCTTGAAATAGTCAAATTATTTTTCTCTGTTGAGTTGACAACTAAATATTCCTGCTTCTGTAAATAATTTTATGACTTTTGGTTTATTTTGTGTGAATAATTTTATTCTAAAATTGTGAAGGGAAATTTCTCATTTTGGTCAGTCAATTAGGCCACTGATTCTTAAACTATAATGAATATCAGTATTGCAAGGAAGGCTTGTGGCCCCTTATCAGACCCCATCCCCACAATTTTTGATTCACTAGATATGTAATGGGGCCAAGAATTTTTTTTTTAACAAGCTCCCAGGTAATGCTTGTACCAATTGATCCAGGAGCCATACTTTGAAAACTGTTGAATTAAGCACATAATGTGATATATGTGCTATTGTGAGAGTTTGATAACATAGTTAACTCTTGAACTTTGAAATACAAACTTTTTGGTTTTAAAGATGGGAGGGGGGATCGGGATGGGGAATACATGTAAATCTATGGCTGATTCATGTCAATGTATGACAAAAACCACTACAATATTGTAAAGTAATTAGCCTCCAACTAATAAAAATAAATGGAAAAAAAAAAGAAATATAAACTTTTTGGTTTCAAAGAAAAATAATCGTTCCTGTAATGAAGTCACCCCTCAAAACATATTATTTTCCAACTGTGATATATTTTTCATTAAGTATTAGTTTATCTTAACATATATATTTCATAATCACAATATATAGCCTCCCTGGTGGCTTAGTTGATAAAGAATCTGCCTGCAATGCAGGAAACCCCAGTTTGATCCTTGGGTTTGGAAGATCCCCTGGAGAAGGAAATGGCAACCCACTTCAGTATTTTTTTCTTGGGAAATCCCATGGATAGAGGAGCCAGGCGGGCTACAGTCTTATCAGGTCACAAGAATCGGACACGACTGAGCAACTAAACTAATCATAGTCTACCTTTTGTCTTGTAGCTGGAATTATTTCTCTTCTGGATGAAGAAGAACCACAGCTTAAGGTATGAGTTGAAGAAAATTAACTGCACTTAATATTTGTACTTTGAAACTGTTTGGCTATATTGATATTTGTGTATATTGCATTATTTAAAATAGCCATTGTACCCAGTCTATAACCAGTCATTGAAATCTAGACCCAGAAGACAGTGTTTTGGCAACAGCAGTTGGTTTCCCTAGAGTTTAGCAAAGCTGAGGCAAATAAATCTCAGTATGGTACCTGGAAACTGCCCCCTCCAATTTTCTATATCAACAGAAATCACATATTTTAAAACTTTTTTCATATGACAAAAATTTGAAATATATTTTAGTTGGCTCCAGGCACCTGAATTCATTTATATCCAAATCAGCAACCTAGAGTCAATCTTACACATACTGTCAAAGAAGAAAAATGTTCAGTATGATAAGGAATGACATTATATGGCTAGTCTCATGTTCTATGATTGAAAACAGAAAGGAAGTATGTAAGCCCAAGAAAAAATGCAAGTTAGTTGGTAAACTTTTATATTTGTCATAGATTAAAACTTTTAGTAAATAAGACTTAGAATTTGGCCATTGATTTGTTTGAAGCTTTTTTTTTTTTTTTAAGGAAATATAATGATAAACCTGTCTCAAAATTGAATTTCGGTTTTATCTTCTACAGGAATTTGCACTACACAAATTGAATGCAGTTGTCAATGACTTCTGGGCAGAAATTTCTGAGTCTGTAGACAAAATGTAAGAATTTATTTCTATTAATTGGAATAAAGTAGATCAACCTTAATTATCCATGGATGTGGGTCTTGTGGTTTATTAATTCATTTAGAAATTTGCTGCCACTAAATTGTGACTTGAGTATATAGATTTGGAATTTTTAAAGAGAACCACAGTTTGAACTAGGCCTATACTTCCTAATTTCTTTCAGAGAAGTTTTGTATGAAGATGAAGGTTTCCGGAGTCGGCAGTTTGCGGCCTTAGTGGCATCTAAAGTATTTTATCACCTGGGGGCTTTTGAGGAGTCTCTGAATTATGCACTTGGAGCAGGTGACCTCTTCAATGTCAATGATAACTCTGAATATGTGGAAACTATTATAGGTAATTATCTTCCATCTAGTAAGGCTTTATCTTGTTGGCCTCTTTCTTGCTCTCCTACATACAGCATTTTTCCCCCCTGAATTACTCTTTGATGTTGCCACATTTCATTTTAATTGAAAGTTCGTAATCTTTCTATAATAATCTTACGCAGACTGAGTTTTTAGATCTGCCTTAAAATTCTGTGCTGTTATTTTTTATCGTAATGAACAGTAACATCAATAACAGTAATTATTAATGAAAGCACTCACCTCACAAAATATTTTGAGTGAATCTAAGAAATTATTCAGAAACAGCTGACTTAAGGCAAAGTTAGTTATCTCAGTGGTTATAGTCATCTCTTTTCCAGTGAGCATACACTTATACAAAAAAATTAAATCAGGTTATTGTGAATAACAAATTAAATGATAGCAATTTATAGAACTGTTTCTAGCACAGGAAAATGTTATTCAGTATTTCCATTGTGCTAGGCACTGTCCTGGTCATTCTTCATATCATGGTTTATTCCACAGCTTCCATGTAGAAGGGGGAGCTCACCCTGTTGTATAGATGAGAAAACTTGGGTTTCAAGATGATAAAGACACATGGTTATTAAATAGGAGGGTCAGAATTTAAAACCTAGGCTTAATCCGTACGAAATCCATATTGTTTCTACTAGTAACCGTTGTTGTCTTATTTGTTTCTGTATTTTTGAAGTGAGAGGGTAGCACACAGGCAAGCCTCTGGGTTCTCCATCTTATAAGTAGAGGCAGCTTTGTAAGATTTTGTTCAGAGCCTTTGTAGCTTTAAAAATGTTTGAAAACACTTGCTCTATTAGATGAAAGAAGAGATTGTGTACCCTTCAGACATGTCTTTATGAATATCAAGCTTTAGGTTATAATTACAGATAGCCCAAGAGTATTTTCTGCAAGTGTGTATAGTGTAGATAGTTTTTTGAATTCCTGATTAAGAGGAGATCTGCATTATTCCCGTGAACTCTTAAAGGGAGAAAATTGGTATTCTCTTTCAGAAATTGGAAAATGCTGCACTAGGCAGTCCAAAGGGGTACTTTTCAAATGTCCCTGAAATTTGTAGTAAGATTTTGTGTTCACATTTTAAAATTTTTTGCCATGATGGTGAGAGGATGTTTCAAGCTTTAAGCTTTATTGTTGTTGGGGATTCATTAAACTGGAGTTTTCATCTGTGAATCCTGTGGAAAGAACAGATTATTTTAAAGAATAGACCATATCATTTGAAACCAGAGCACTTCCCCTGCATTGTTAGGAATGGGGAGTTAAATACTTTTATCTTTTCTTTTATTTGAAGGGTTTATTTTGATGAATGTTGATAATTTTTTTCAGCAGTGATCTGCAGGTGCTTGCAGTGTTACCATTTTACAAATGATGATTTTAATCAGGACAGTTGGTCCATGAGGTGGTAGATTCCTTTCTGTGTATCATCTTAATCATAGCTTATAAGAGGTGATTGTTGACTGGTAGACCAGTTCTGTTTGCTTTTCTTTAAGTAGAAATGGGGTTCACCCTTTTAGTTTTCTTGGGACTATTAGAATGGATTTTTTTTTTTTCATAATGTCAGTGAGATCTGTGAAAAGATACGTAAAATGGAATTTAGGAACACCTTCCTAGGACCTTAAATGAGTGCCTTAAGCAGTACACTCAGAAAACCCAAGGCTAAAAATTTTCTCCCAATTATAATAAGACTTTAGCTAGAAATGAGGCTACAGTTAGTATATACCTGGTAAGTGAGAGCATGAGTCTCATTTGAAACTTAGGAGGTAACATTTTTCTTCCTCCATTATTAAATCTGAGATTCCTCTCTGGTGAGACAGAGGTAATGTTTCCTCGCAACTACATTTGGTTCAAAAAGCTCCTGTTGGGGCCTGGTGAAGATCTTCTGCAATGAAAATTGTTTAAGGTCTGCATTGTGACTGCCACTTTGTTCTTACTAACTGTACCTGAACCTGTCTAATTCTTCCTGAATGGATCCTGAACCTGGTATATTCGAGTTTAGAAAAGTGTTCTGCTTCCCCTGAATATAGTACCATTAACATGGGCCGTGTAGTCGACCAGCAGTTTTTCATGCTAGTTCAGTTGTTTCTGTTTCCTAAGGCTATAGTTTGCAACTCATTAATCTTTTCCTTGTACCTTTCTCTTTGAAAAGGAGAGTGACAAGCCAGTGAGTTATAGAGAGGACAACTGTTACATATCTCATTTAGCTTGAGTGGTATCTTCCTTACAAAGGTGGAAGAAGTCTTAGGGTAATTTCCCTTTTTGGTTGCTCTTAACAAGTTTATGGTATGATGGTAAAGTAGTGTAAGTTGTAAACATGATACTTTCACCTAAAGCATTGTGAAATGTGAAAGCCAGATCGTGCATGTGCACTACTGCATGAATTTTCATACTCTTTGTTTGGGGGAGAGGGGAAATACTTGAGAAGGGTTCACCCTACCTCACTGTAGTGAGGCAGTGAATATTTTAGCTGATTGCTGGAAAGGGTTTTGGAAATCTTTGGGATTGCCTTTGGGACCAGTGGCACATTTCAGGTCATTTCACCGTTATTCTACAAAGATGATTAAGGCAGGCTCTACTCTCAAGGAGCTAATAATTTCATTAATGTGGAGACTGATAATTTATTGCCACGTGATAATTGCTACAATAGGTTTTTGTTAATATTCTCGACGGCGAGTATTTGTTTTTTGAAAAGTGAAATAGCCAGCTATTTATAGCCAACTCTAAAATAAGCAGCTTGGCCAAGTTGACTAAGGTAATTTTGGTCGAAGTACAGTAACAAGATAGAAATGTTTTAAATAATGTCAACTTATGGAATTAGTGTAACTGTTACGAAGGGAGCTATTGTTTGAAGGTATAACTTCTAGCATTTAAAAAATTTGAAATTTACTTACTACTCTACAGTCATCCCCTAGGTTTTCATGGTGACAAATGTAGGTATTGTCCTTTCTAGTAGTATCAGCCCAGTTTACAAGGTAATCAGTTATTTTATTTTCCCTATAGCAAAGTGCATTGATCACTACACCAAACAATGTGTGGAAAATGCAGATTTGCCCGAAGGAGAAAAAAAACCAATTGACCAGAGATTGGAAGGCATTGTGAATAAAATGTTTCAAAGATGTCTAGATGATCACAAGTATAAGCAAGCTATCGGCATTGCTCTGGAGACACGAAGACTGGATGTCTTTGAGAAGACTATACTTGAGTCGGTAGGTAGAGGGTGTGACTTTCAAGATTGTTGTTGATGAAGAATCAGGAGAGCAAATTATTAAAACTGAAAATTGTAGTGAAAAGAAACTCTTGCTTAGAATAAGATGTGATGGTCTTGAAAAAAATTTATTTTTATTTTATTTTTATGTTTTTATATTTTTATGTCTTTTATATTTTTTATGTTTTTAATATATTTATAAAGGAACTTTGGCTGTGCTTGTTGAATAGCTTCTTTTGTCTTACCACTTTTATTCCTTTGAAGTCTTGCATGGGGACGTTGTCTTAATTAGGCTTTCTCTAGTTGCTGTGCTTGGGCTTCTCATTGCAGTGGCTTCTCATTAGAACGCATAGGCTCTAGGGTGCAGGCTTCAGTGGTTATGGCATATGGCCGTGGCTCTCCCAAGGCACGTGGAATCTTCCCAGACCAGGGATTGAACCTGTGACCCTTGCCTTAGCAGGCAGATTCTTAACCACTGGACCATCAGAGAAGTCCTCTGCCCTTTTAAAGAAGACTATAATGATAACTACTATTGTAGTGCCTTTATTATGGCTAAAACTAAATTTTCCTAGTTTGGGGGTGTTTTGCAATAATTATGACAATTGTAAGTCACTAACCAAAGTGGTCAGAGAGGTGCAAGCCTGAGTTAAATGAACATTGATCTGTTAAGTGCCCACTTAGCCTGCCTCACTCCCATCCTTCTCCACAAGCTAGCTTTTTGTACTCCAGCCATCTTGACTTTGTCTCTTCTAGGTGTACCGAGCATCATTCCCCTTACCAAAAATATTGCCCCTCTGGAAAACATCCTTTTCTTTTCCTTACCTGCTTTATTCCCATTCAAGATTCATAGTTCAGCTCACCTGTCATGTATTTACAGATCCTTCTGTCAATCCCTGCCAGCCATATCCTTCTCAACCCCTAGATCCAACTTGGTCCACCAGATCAGAACCTACTTAAGGCCGGGTGCTTTTACCACTGGGTCCCCAAACCTAAGGCAGCGTTTAGCAGCAGTGGTAAGATTTGTTTAAGTGAGTATAAATATATGAATGGCCCAGTGTCATAGAATGGCCCTTATTTTTGCTGTTTGATTTTTGTGCAGTTGTAGTTACTCCTTGTCTTCAGGTGACTAAAACTAAAATACTTGCTTTTTTATTCATTCAACACTGTTCTCAGCATTGGAGATAACAGTGGGAAGCAAGAAACAAAGTTCCTGCTCTAGTGGAATAATCCACTAGGGGAATAGGCGGTGACGCCTGTTCCCCGTAAGGTCAAGGGGTGATAAATGTTTAAAAAAAGAATAAAGCAGGGTAGGAAGTGCATCTTACTTTGTCTCCCAGTGCACATGTACATATATTAATAGATGTAACTTAGGATGAAATCTGCTGTGCTTAGTCACTCAGTCGGGTCCAACTCTTTGTGATCCCTACTTGGGACTGTATCCTGCCAGGCTCCTCTGTCCATGGGGATTCTCCAGGCAAGAATACTGGAGTGGGTTGCCATGCCCTCCTCTATGGGATCTTCCCAGCCCAAAAACAGAACCCAGGTCTCCTGCATTGCAGGCAGATTCTTTTTGTCTGAGCCACCAGGGGAGCCCATAAGAAGAAATAATACCTACTTTTTCTGCTTCTAATGTAATCATGGTATTTTTAAATTGTACTTCATGTTTTTGAAAAATCTTAGTCCTATTAAGTTATTTCATTATCTGTGCACTGATTTGTCACAACCTGCTTACAAAATAAATTTTATTTTATCATTGATTGTTCAGTTCAGTTCAGTCACTCAGTCATGTCCGACTCTTTGCAACCCCATGAATCACAGCACGCCAGGCCTCCCTGTCTATCACCAACTCCTGGAGTCCACCCAAACCCATGTCCATCAAGTCGGTGATGCCATCCAGTGATCTCATTCTCTGTCCCCTTCTCCTCCTGCCCCCAATCCTTCCCAGCACCAGGGTCTTTTCAGATGAGTCAGTTCTTCGCATCAAGTGGCCAAAGTGTTGGAGTTTCAGCTTCAGCATCAGTCCTTCCAATGAACACCCAGGACTGATCTCCTTCAGGATGGACTGGTTGGATCTCCTTGCAGTCCAAGGGACTCTCAAGAGTCTTCTCCAACACCACAGTTCAAAAGCATCAGTTCTTCGGTGCTTAGCTTTCTTCACAGTCCACAACTCTCACATCCATACATAACTACTGGAAAAATCATGGCCTTGACTAGACGGACCTTTGTTGGCAAAGTAATGTCTCTGCTTTTAAATATGCTATCTAAGTTGGTCATAACTTTCCTTCCAAGGAGCAAGTGTCTTTTAATTTCATGGCTGCAATCACCATCTGCAGTGATTTTGGAGCCCCCCAAAATAAAGTCTGACACTGTTTCCACTGTTTCCCATCTATTTCCCATGAAGTGATGGGACTGGATGCCATGATCTTAGTTTTCTGAATGCTGAGCTTTAAGCCAGCTTTTTCAGTCTCCTTCACTTTCATCAAGAGGCTTTTTAGTTCCTCTTCACTTTCTGCCATAAGGGTGGTGTCGTCTGCATATCTCAAATTATTGATATTTCTCCCAGCAATCTTGATTCCAGCTTGTGCTTCTTCCAGCCCAGCGTTTCTCATGATGTACTCTGCATGTAAGTTAAGTAAGCAGGGTGACAGTATACAGCATTGACATACTCCTTTTCCTATTTGGAACCAGTCTGTTGTTCCATGTCCAGTTCTAACTGTTGCTTCCTGACCTGCATACAGGTTTCTCAAGAGACAGGTCAGGTGATCTGGTATTCCCATCTCCTGAAGAATTTTCCACAGTTTATTGTGATGCACACAGTCAACGGCTTTGTCATAGTCAATAAAGCAGAAATAGATGTTTTTCTGGAACTCGCTTGCTTTTTTGATGATCCAGCGGATGTTGGCAATTTGCCGTCTGGTTCCTCTGCCTTTTCTAAACCCAGCTTGAACATCTGGAAGTTCTCAGTTCACATATTGCTAAAGCCTGGCTTGGAGAATTTTGAGCGTTACTTTACTAGCGTATGAGATGAGTGCAATTGTGCCATAGTTTGAGTATTCTTTGGGATTGGAATGAAAACTGACCTTTTCCAATCCTGTGGCCACTGCTGAGTTTTCGGAATTTTCTGGCATATTGAGTGCAGCACTTTCACAGCATCATCTTTCAGGATTTGAAATAGCTCAGCTGGAATTCCATCACCTCCCCTAGCTTTGTTCATAGTGATGCTTCCTAAGGCCCACTTGGCTTCACATTCCAGGATGTCTGGCTCTAGGTGAGCGATCACACCATTGTGATTAACTGGGTCTTGAAGATCTTTTTTGCACAGTTCTTCTGTGTATTTTTGCCACCTCTTCTTAATATCTTCTGCTTCTGTTAGGTCCATACCATTTCTGTCCTTTATTGAGCCCATCTGTGTATGAAATGTTCCCTTGGTATCTCTAATTTTCTTGAAGAAATCTCTAGTCTTTCCCATTCTCTTGTTTTCCTCTATTTCTTTGCATTGATCGCTGAGGAAGGCTTTCTTATCTCTCCTTGCTATTCTTTGGAACTCTGCATTCAGATGGGAATATCTTTCCTTTTCTCCTTTGCTTTTCACTTCTCTTCTTTTCACAGGTATTTGTAAGGCCTCCTCAGACAGCCATTTTGCTTTTTTGCATTTCTTTTCCATAGGGATGGTCTTAATCCCTGTCTCCTGTACAATGTCACGAACCTCCGTCCATAGTTCATCAGGCACTCTGTCTATCAGATCTAGTCCCTTAAATCTATTTCTCACTTCCACTGTATAGTCATAAGGGATTTGATTTAGGTCATACCTGAATGGTCTAGTGGCTTCCCCTACTTTCTTCAGTTTAAGTCTGAATTTGGCAATAAGGAGTTCATGATCTGAGCCATAGTCAGCTCCCGGTCTTATTTTTGCTGACTGTATAGAGCTTCTCCATCTTTGGCTGCAAAGAATATAATCAATCTGATTTCAGTGTTGACCATCTGGTGATGTCCATGTGTAGAGTCTTCTCTTGTGTTGTTGGAAGAGGGTGTTTGCTATGACCAGTGCGTTCTCTGTTAGCCTTTGCCCTGCTTCATTCTGTACTCCAAGGCCAAATTTGCCTGTTAATCCAGGTGTTTCCTTACTTCCTACTTTTGCATTCCAGTCCCTTATAATGAAAAGGACATCTTTTTTAGGTGTTAGTTCTAAAAGGTCTTATAGGTCTTCATAGAACCGTTCAACTTCAGCTTCTTCAGCATTACTGGTCAGGGCATAGACTTGGATCACTGTGATACTGAATGGTTTGCCTTGGAAACGAACAGAGATCATTCTGCCGTTTTTGAGATTGCACCCAAGTACTGCATTTCGGACTCTTTTGTTGACCATGATAGCTACTCCATTTCTTCTAAGGGATTCCTGCCCACAGTAGTAGATATAATGGTCATCTGAGTTAAATTCACTCATTCCAGTCCATCTTAGTTCACTGATTCCTAGGATGTCAACGTTCACTCTTGCCATCTCCTGTTTGACCACTTCCAGTTTGCCTTGATTCATGGACCTAACATTCCCGGTTCCTATGCAATTACAGCACTGGAACTTGCTTCAATCACCAGTCACATCTACAGCTTGGTATTGTTTTTGATTTGGCTCCTTCCCTTCATCCTTCCTGGAGTTATTTCTCCACTGATCTCCAGTAGCATGTTGGGCACCTACCGACCTAGGGAGTTCATCTTTTAGTGTCCTATCTTTTTGCCTTTTCATACTGTTCATGGCGTTCTCAAGGCAAGAATACTGAAGTGGTTTGCCATTCCCTTCTCCAGGGGACCACATTCTGTCAGACCTCTCCACCATGACCCATGCATCTTGGGTGGCCCCCCACAGCATGGCTTAGTCTCACTGAGTTAGACACGGCTGTGGTCCTGTGATCAGATTGGCTAGTTTTCTGTGATTATGGTTTTAGTGTGTCTGCCCTCTGATGCCCTCTCGCAACACGTACCCTGTTACTTGAGTTTCTCTTACCCTGGACGTGGGGTGTCTCTTCACCGCTGTTCCAGCAAAGTGCAGTCGCTGCTCCTTACCTTGGACGAGGGGTATCTCCTCAGGGCCGCCCCTCCTGACGCTGAATGTGGAGTAGCTCCTGTCGGCCCTCCTGCTCCCGTGCAGCCGCCGCTCCTTGGACAGGGCGTTGTTCCTCTCGGCCGCCACCCCTGACCTGGAGCATGGAGTAGCTCAAAGTAACATTGAATGTTAACTTTCTTTAAATTCTATAGCAATTTATAATTTTTCAAAAGTTTTGCATGCATTTTATATAATCCTGTATTAACGCTTTTTAATCCCCAACTCTTCTATCACCCCTCCCCCTTCCCTGTCCCCTCTGATAACTACGAGTTTGTTCCCTGTATCTGTGAGTCTGCTTTTGTTTTTTATTTGATTCACTAGTTTTTTGTGTTTTTTAGATTCTACATATAAGTGATACCGTGTGGTATTTGTCTTTCTCTATCTGACTTTATTTTACTTGGCATAGTGCTCTCCAAATCCACCCATGTTGCTGCAAATGGCAAGATTTCATTCTTTTTTATGACTGAGTAGTATTCCACTGTATATATACACATGTGTGTGCGTGTGTGTGTGTGCGCATATATATGTACACACATATCTTTATCCATTCATCTGTTGATGGATACTTACGTTGCTGCCATATCTTGGCTGTTATTAATAACACTATTATGAATATTGGGGTGCACAACAAAGTCTTTCTGAATTAGTGAATTTTTTTGAATTTTGAATTTCTCAACTCCGGTTTTAAGAAATACTCCTGTAGCTCTTCAGCATGCTTGTTTATGCTGAAGAACTTTTATAGGTTGGTATCTCAAAATTCAGGTTCCTTGAAAAACCACAAGGTAAACATAAATAGGAGTCAAAACTGCCTCAGGAGAGTGCCAGTTAGATGTGACAGCACTCAAAGCTTGAGTCACTCAGAACTAGAGAACAGTTCTTTCATCTTGTGTTCCTGGCCATTAAGGATAGGCGATAAATCCTGAGGATTAGCGAGGTTGTGTGCTTGGTATATGGACAGTTGTGTAGATCTTTTTATAATAATTAACAGCACCACTCTGTTATAGTATACTGTGTTCATATAGTGATGATCCTGGATGAACACTAAATACTTGTTTTCAACCCATTTTTTCATGAAGACAGGGAAATAGATAATTTTCTTTTAAGATTTTCATCTAAAATAGTTAAAAATTTTAAATTTTATTTAAGTAGCAAATAAAGCTTTAGCTGCCTAGAATGACTAAAGAATATTGATTAAAATAATTTGATTTCTAAATAAACATGCTTCAGTAACTAAATAATGATGTCTCTTCAAATTATCTCTTTCAGAATGATGTCCCAGGAATGCTGGCTTATAGCTTGAAGCTCTGCATGTCTTTAATGCAGAACAAACAGTTTCGGAATAAAGTACTTAGAGTCCTAGTTAAAATCTACATGAATTTAGAGAAACCTGATTTCATCAATGTTTGTCAGGTAATAACATTATTTTACACTATATTACCAGGTAATGCCTCACTACCTCATGTGTGTACCTCAACAGATCACTATAATTCCATACATATATCTCAATTGATCCTTACTACAGCCCTGTGAAGATAAGGTGTGTATTTATGTTCTATTTTACTGATTAAAAAAACTGAAGCTCTCAAAACTAAAAAGCTATTTTGTTATAATGTATTCCTTGTGTTTTTTTCATTTTGAAAATAATCCAGGCATTTAAGGAAATTTTTGGAAATGAGGTTAAAAAAAAAAAGTAGAAGAAAAGATAAAAACAGTACCTATGTTATGTCATTCTAAAAGAATTTCAGGTATAAAGATTATCTTTGGTTTCATTTTTCAAACACAACCATAACCTTTGGGTATTTTCTTTATCTCTTTTCATGTATGGACTTCCTTGCATATGTTAAAAAAATTAAGACAGTGCAGAAAATATATAAAATGAAATGTGTATCTATCCCTTTCCCTGGGCATTTTCCCAGTTAAAAGACTCATAGATGTTTTCCTCCAAAAACATGTGGAGCTACCTCATCCTTCTCAATGACTGGATTGTATTTTTATTGACTGGAAATGCTCAGTTTGCTTTTTAACAGTTACCACACTGTAAATTTTCTGTATTCTGCTTAGAGCATAGCATTTTATCACACATTTTTTTATTTGTTCACTATAATGTATTCTCAATATGTGTTTCTATCCTCTATACATATTTAAGATTTAGATTAATGCATCCGTTTTTGAATGCTTTTTTAAAAAAAATCATTATAGGTTATTACAAGATAGTGAATATAGTTTTCTGAACTCTGTTGCTCATCTGTTTTATGTATAGTTTTTGAAGCTTTTTAAAGCAAGTGTGAAACACAGAGAAAGTTGGAAGGAAAACATCCACCTTTATGTCACTTGAAGTCTGCTAACATTTTAGTATATGTCCTTTCACTTTTCTCTATATAGTTTTTTTGAGTTTTGTTTGCTTCTAAATCGTTTTTAATAGTTACTTAAATGGTTTTTTAAAAGTTACATGAAAAACAATAGTCCTCTGCCATCTTTTCTCAGTATATTTCAGTTTTATTTCCCAGAAGTAATTTTATTTATTTTGGCTATTTTATTCCTTGTCCCTGTAAAAAAATTTTTTGAATTTTACATTTTTAAAATTTATTTTTGAACAGATGATATTACATTCACATGATTCAAAATTCATGAGGAACCAAGGGGTATATAGTAAAAAGTCTTCTTGCCACTTCTCCCTTTGGCTCCCAAGTTCCCTTCCCTGGAAGCAAACTATCAATTAAATATGTCCTTCAGTTTAATGTTTTTTTCCATGTTTTGACCCTTCACAAACTCTTGTACAAACTCTTTCTTGATTATGCAGTAGTCATTCAGTGGGTGTTCTTTGCCTTTTTTATCCAGTCTCCTGTTATTGGTCATTTATTTTGTTTCCATAATTTCCTGTTCTTAGATTACAATAATTTTAATTAATGTGTTCATTTTGAAATTGAGTTATTTGCTATTTAAGAAAACACTTTAAATTGAACTCTTAAATATCCTGAATTTTTTGGATGGCTTTTGTTAAAACATGTGGCAGATCATAAGAGTAGTAAGAGAAATGCTTCATAATGTTCATTTCAGTGCCTCTTGTCCTAGCCCAGCACAATACAGTGCATTATGAATGAATAAATGAATGTCTCCTACAATTGATGGTAAAGCAGAAATTAGAAGTAAAAGAGCACTTGATAGTGATTTATGAGTAAGTTTTAAAGAAGTCAGGATTCATTCACCAACCAGTTATTAAGTATTGCTAATTGCCAGGCACAGTATTAGGAGCCACGAGCATAACTTGTATGGACTTTCCTATAGAAGGCGGATTCTACTTTCAGGAAAACTTTGGTGCCAGGATGAGAAATGGAATGCTATTATTAGACTAGATAGTTTGCTGCAGTTTGCCTTCACTTTTATTTATGGTTTCCTGTGTTGTTGACTGTAAGTCTTTTAAGTATCTTACAGACCAAGTTTTTGATTATTATGTAATTGTTCTTTATCTGCTTTTCAGTGCCTAATTTTCTTAGATGATCCTCAGGCCGTGAGTGATATCTTAGAAAAACTGGTAAAGGAAGACAACCTCCTGATGGCCTATCAGATTTGTTTTGATTTGTATGAAAGTGCTAGCCAGCAGTTTTTGTCTTCTGTAATCCAGAATCTTCGAACTGTTGGCACCCCTCTTGCTTCTGTGCCTGGGTCCACCAACACGGGCACTGTTCCAGGAACAGAGAGAGAAAGGTACGCCTATCTGTTTCTGCATAGAACTAACCCAACTGTCTTTAACTTATTTGGGGAGTAGATATAGTATTTCTAGACAACGTAGTCTAAGAATAAATACCATTAGATTTCGTAGGTTGTAAACTCTTAAGACTATTGCTCTGTTTTGCACTCTGCTGGGCATATGAAGGAAAATTAAAAAAAAAAAAAATGGACCCTTCTGGAAACAATGAAAGGGGTTGTCTGATGGGGAGGGTGTGGGTCCTGCATGCTTTCTAATCAAGTAAATTAAAAAGTCTCAGGTGGGGTAGGTTGGGCTAGATTTTAGGTGTTTGGGTTAGATATTTTACAGGTAGAAACATTCTTAGCTTTTTTATGCTTTTATTAGAACTGATAAAAATTGCTGTAGTCCAGTAATCTTCATTTATCTAGGTTTTAAAAAATTTTTTTCTCAACATTATTTTGTAGATTTTAGTACAGGACTTTTGTACATTTTCCCCTAAAGTTATTCCTAAGTATATTGTTTTTTGGTACTATTGTAAGTGGTATGTTTAAGTTTCAATTCAATTTAAATTGCTTGTTGCTAATATGTAGAATTATACTTGATCGTTGTATAGTAAAATTGAATCCCACAACCTTGTTTAAGTCATTTAGAGTGTCAAGTACAATTTTTTTTATAGATCCCTTTATAGAACTTTCTACATAGGAATCATGTCATCTGTGAACAGAAACAGTTTTACTTCTTCCTTTATAATTTTGATATCTTTTCTCCCTTTATTTTTCTGCATTGGTTAGGATTTTTGAGCATCCTTTCTTTGTTCTTAATTATGGGATAATAGCATTTAGTTTATTTCTTTTTGATTTAAAATTTTCTTCTTCTTACCTTCTCTTTTTTCTTGTATTTATTTGCTCTTGTGTGCTCTCTGAGTTGATCTTCATTTGTGAAATAATTATTTTTCTTTTTCCATTTCTAATTTTTCCCTAGTTCTGTTGTTTCATTTCTGATATGTAATATTATTTTATATCTTGTATAATTTTATTCATGTCTTTTACCTCTTTTCAAATAATTTTTTAATAATATTGAATGGGATTTTGCTTTGATCCTTTCCTGTAGTTTATCTTTACTGAAATTAGTTTTCCTAAGTATTTACAAAGGAGGCTTGTTTAGGATAGTTTTTCTAATTTCACTGTTCTCTAGAACTTCCTCTTCTGTTGTTTGTGGAGTTTTAAACAGAATGGTGTCTTATGTTGTGAGATCTCCTGGCTCTGTTTCCTTTCTCACTTTCATTTTGGCCTTCTTTTTCCCTTGTTTCTGCTTTCTTAATTTGAATTCTATGCCCAGCATTTTCTCCTTTGTGTTTTGCTTTGACCTAGGAGAGAGTGTTGGCCAGTCGGTTTTAAGAGTTGTTGGCGCTCTGACTGCTTTACTTCAGGCTGGTTTTGTGGCTGGTGGTAGTGGCTCTGTTTTGAGAATCTGGGAGATACTTTGTTCCCTGGTTTTGTTGTATTTATTGTCCTTTTTTTGCTAACCTAGTTAGTTGGCTTTGCATGTTTTATGAAATTATTTGGCGGTAATTTGGTAAGTGGACTGCCTCCATCTTATTTTACAGTCTTTTCTGTTTCTTAACAGCAGTACTTTAAAAGTTATTTAGTATTTTTTCCTTGCAAAATATTAATTATGGACATGGTTCAGATCTTCCGTTTGATTAAAAGGAAAGAGAAAAAGTTACCCACACATACCATTCAGAAAAGATTTATCACACTGATAACTGTTGGTTCTCTTCGTTTTAGTGACTCGATGGAAACGGACGACAAGACAGGTAGTGTACTTGTAGGCAAGACGCCAGAAGCGGTAAGTGTGCTTTTTGAAGTTGAGGTTTCCATCTAAACATACATTTCCACACTATATTGTAAATTACTTAAAAGTGTTACATACCTGCTTTTATGGAGGTTTATTATTAAGTTTAATATCAGAGTCATTTTATAAAAATAGATTTTCTATAAAAAGTAAAATTTTAAAGATTAATCCAAGGGAATTCCTTGGTGGTCCAGGGTTAGGCCTTGGCACTTTCACTGCTGAGGGCCTGAGCTCACTCCCTGGTTGAGTGAGGAACTAAAATTCCACAAGTTGCACAGCACAGGCAAAAAGCAAAAGATTGATCCCAGAAAACACTTGACATAGAAGCAATAAAGTCCTCAGATCCTTACCAAAGAATGAACTCTGTTCAGAATAACCCTGAATTACATGTCATAGGGTGAGAAAAAACTATGGCCTCTAACAAATAAATGACAGCTTGTAGAGAGGACAGTTTAGTTGTCTTTATTTTTAATATTCATAGTGTACTTATGAGTGAGGCAAGGATTAGAGCAGTAGTCTGTTGGATGTAATGTTTCCTACATCAGAATTTTTGGTTTTTAGTCACCAGGTATATAAATTTCAGATCTTCTTGTGGTTGGAACGAGTTGTGTTGGTAGCTCGGTATAATTCGTGAGATCATATGTATGTGTTGATTAAAGGTGCTTTTTCTCAATTTTGAGGAGAGTCTCACCTAAACTATGAGTTGGCTAAGTATAAAATAGTGTTCGCTGCATATCATCATTACTCTTTTACAGGTTTTTTAAAAATTTTTTGTATTGGAAGCTTAAGTTTTTTTATGTGTATGACTGAATTTCACTGGATTAGGGCTATTGAAATTAGTTTACTGGATTTCAGTAATGTAATAATTTTCATTCTTGTTTGTTTTGGCAGAGTCCAGAGCCCAAGGACCAGACTTTGAAAATGATTAAAATTCTAAGTGGTGAAATGGCTATTGAGTTACATCTACAGTTTTTAATACGAAACAATAACACAGATCTCATGATTCTAAAAAACACAAAGGTAGAAAATTCATCTTTAATGGAGGCTTTTTTCTTATCTTTATTTCTTTGTTGACCATGAGTACTTAATACTTATTTCTTATTGAATAATTTGTTGCCTTTTGTCATGGAAATACATTTTTGAAAAAATAACGATGGGAGAGACACTTGATCTTACTGAAGAAGAAAGAGAATTAATGCTGATTGAACTCCTGTTTTTTTGTGTTAGTCTGTCATTGGGAAGTTTAGTGTTTTTTTTTTTAACCCTACTCTTTTAGCTAACTTTTTTTTTAAATTTGTTTATTTTTTAATTGAAGGATAATTGCTCTACAGAATTTTGTTGTTTTCTGTCAAACCTCAATATGAATCAGCCATAGGTATACATATGGTTTGGTTTTAGTCACTAAGTCGTGTCTGACTCTTGCGACCCCATGGGCTGTAGCCTGCCAGGCTCCTCTGTCCATGGGATTCTCCAGGCAAGAATACTGGAGTAGGTTGCCATTTCCTTCTTCAAAGTATACATATATCCTCTCCATTTTGAACCTCCCTCCCCATCCCACTCCTCTAGGTTGCTACAGAGCCCCCATTTGAGTTTCCTGAGGCATATAGCAAATCCTGTTGGCTATCTATTTTACATATGGTAATATCTAACTTTTATTTGAATGTGTACATGTGGCATTTGGACAGATACCACAATCAGAGCATTAATATAGGTTGTGTTTTTGTTTTTCCCAGTGAACTGCAGGCTTCTTGAGAACAGGGGTTCTTAACCTTGATATTGTAACCTTTACTGAGATATTCATCCTGACAATTGTTCATTTTAAGTTTTAAGCAGATAATCTATTCGTCTGGTTCCAAAAAAATTTTAATATGAAAAGATACATACTATGAAAAATCTTCCTGCCTTGCCTGTGTTATTTACCCAAATCCTTTCACAAAGTCATTATATATAATCATATACTATTTCATTAATATGAAGTTGTTTGATTGAGGTATATGTAATCATGCTTCTCTAGATTTTTAAAATAATTTTTACAAGTGTGCAAGAGAAAAATTTGCATTTATGACAGTTTTCTGATGCTTATCTTTATAGTGCAATTGAATTAAACAAAATTGCTTTGGTGACTGCCAGAGGTACAGTGCCAGAAGAGGTATACCATTGCTTCTCAAGTTACATCCATTCTTCGAGACCTTGAGCAGGATATCAAAGAGAAATGGCAAACTATTTAGAAACTAACAATTAGAATATCTACTATTAAATTCTTACCTGAAATTGACCTGAAGTTAAGACCACAAATAAAACTTTTGACTTGCTGTTTTCTAATAAGCTAGTTATTTAATCTTTATAAAGAAATTTCCAAGATTCATATTTTAAATGCTAATTCAGTTTATTCATGTTTTCACCACAAAATAGTGCTTCTTATTGTGTGTTTACATGCAGGCTTGCATTTGTATGAATACAAATGATAAATATCTGTGTTTGTTTTTTAGGATGCAGTAAGGAATTCTGTCTGTCATACAGCAACTGTCATAGCAAACTCTTTTATGCACTGTGGCACTACCAGTGACCAGTTTCTTAGGTAAATGTACTCGTAGGTTCCCCCTTCAGTTTAAAAGTGTCTCTGAGACAAGTGCTCGGGCCTGGTGCACTGGGAAGACCTGGAGGGAGCGGGTAGAGAGGGAGGTGGGAGGGGGGATCGGGATGGGGAATACATGTAAATCCATAGCTAATTCATGTCAATGTATGACAAAAACCACTACAATATTGTAAAGTAATTAGCCTCCAAATAATAAAAATAAATGAAATTAAAATAAAAGTGTCTCTGACAGAGACTCTGTTGGCACTATTACATGGATGTGGGAAACTTGACCTGCTTGCCAGTCCTGAATTTTAAATTCTACTTTTGCTATTTTATAAATTTTTTAAATTGCATATACCTACCTGTTTTGAGGTAAAATTAATTTTCTTCATTAGTTGCCTTGAATACAGATTTTTGAATGAAATATATTAAGCTCTGAAGTTGGATACAGTTTTGCTTTTGTTCATAATGTAATTACATATGCCTTTTTAGAAAGCCCTCAGAATATTAAGAGGCCTTAAGAGGTAAAACAGAATCATCAATAACTTGAAATCCATAAAGTAAAATGATTTTTAACAGTTCAAGGTAAAAATGTTAGAGCTTTGACTTTAGTGTTATAAAGAGCTTTATGAAATTCATTTCAATAATATTGCTAAATTTTGTTTTCTTACAGAGATAACTTGGAATGGTTAGCCAGAGCCACTAATTGGGCAAAATTTACAGCTACAGCCAGTTTGGGTGTAATTCATAAGGTAATATATACTTATCTCTGTGAGCAGGCATCAGAACAGAAGCAATTTTTCGGAGTTAAGGAACAAAAAATAGGGACTTCCCTGGCAGTCCAGTGCTTGAGACTCTGGGCATCCAAGTCAGTGGACAGACCGGGGAATTAAGATCCTACATGTCATGCAGTGCAGTCAAAAAAAAAAAGAGAAACATGTTTACTATAATGCACTGACAAGTAGAGTTTGTTAAATTAGATCAGTCCTTATACAGGGAAGGATAAAATAAATAAGAAATGTGTGGGTTTTGTGGGTTTTTTTAATAAAAAGTAGAAATCTTTTTTGTGTGAAGACTAAGCCATTTCTTAAAAGATGAATTGAAATAATTATTTGCAGAGTCTAAGATAAATTTGGGGAAATGTTATAAAACAAAGGAGGGGAATGGAAGCATTTGTTTCTAACTAGGATGTGATTTCAGGATCACTTAAAAGCTATCTTCTCCTGTGAGTGATAAAGTTGCTTAGGAGAGAACTCCACTTCCTCCCTCACTCTGAAGAAAAAGCAGTAGTCATAGAAAATGTTTTTCTCTTTCTTTTACTGACACCTCTGTGGTGGCTCTCATTTACAGGGTCATGAGAAGGAAGCATTACAGTTAATGGCAACATACCTTCCCAAGGACACCTCTCCAGGGTCAGCCTATCAGGAAGGTGGAGGTCTCTATGCACTAGGTCTCATTCATGCCAATCATGGTGGTGATATAATTGACTATCTGCTTAACCAGCTCAAGAATGCCAGCAATGACGTAAGTATTAGAATGCACAACTAAATTCCCATTACTTAAGAATGAGGGAAACATTATATTTGCCAAATTATTTCAGTGAATACAAATCTTGTAGGATTCCCAAATCTACATTCCCAGATCTAAAGTGCTATTTTCATAGAATCTTTTCTTTTAAAGGTAATTTCCTCTCCTCTATAAGCTAAAATTGTGTTTCCAGACCCTTAAACCTTATCTGTGAAAAGTGAAATAAAGTATCAGATTTTTATAAAATATACATTGTATGTATTGTAAGACACTTCAGAGTCTTGTTATGTTACATAAGTGATTTTCTGTTATTTTATAGGAAACTAAAGCCCCTCCAAAATTGCCTACAGTATTTTGGGAATCAGAATTCTTGCTTGTGTAATGTTTTTGGTGATTTTTAAATGTAACTCTTTTGGAAAAACTTACTAAGCATCCCTGTTTTATTTTAAGGAGCTGTGACATAGGATTTTAGACTTTTTAAACTTTTATGTTAGAGTAGTCTCTATTAGAAAGCTATTGGGAGAGTAGCTCAGTGAGCCAGAAAACTTTGTCCTACTTCAGTGAAAAGACTGAGATCAGTAGGATGGTCTGTCTGAGCTAATATGGCCCCATTCACAAATCTTACATAATTTATAGATATCTTTGCCTTAAATTTCTGGTGGTCTCAGGTAAAAATTTTCTTACCAGGTAAAGCTTTTTGATTACCAGCAACAAAAACCTCTGCTGACCAACTTAAACAAGGAGTTTATTGCAACTAGCTCATATAATTAAAGGAAAAGCTGGTGAACTAGTTCTCACAAAGGTTAAAAGCAGGGTGATTCTAGGAATCTTGGTAATAGGAGCTAATGGGATGGTCTCTTCGGGGCTCTACTGTCAGGATGAATGAACTTGAAATGTTTTTGGTCCTTGGGTCATTCCACTTAAGAAAGATTAAAATTCCAAAGGAGCATCTGATTGGCCTGTCTAGAGTCACAGGCCCACACTTTCCCCAGGGGAATATGAGAGTTTATTTTCAATGACAATCTCACCAAGATTTAAACCAGTAGGGAGGAGTATTCCCCAAGCAGAACTGGGGTACTGTCACTAATAAAAGGATACTGTGCATTCAAAAGTAACAGATCATCACACAAATACTCTCCAAATAAAGCCTAACTTTTGCTCTTAAAGCCACTTTCTCCTACCATGTTCCATTACATCCTTTTTCTCCTCTATGCTTCCTCCCTCAGTTCATAAGCATATTCACCTATCCTAAAACTCTTTTCTTGCCAGTTGGTTCTGTCTTTTAGTTGTCATTTTTCTCCTCCCCTTCTCGTGTAAACTTATTAAAAGAGAGCTGTACTGTCTCCACTTTGTTTTCATTTCCTTAACTTGCCATTATTTTATATCAGCAGGCAGCATTCTTTAGAAACTGAAATTGTAAGGTTAGCACTGACCCTCTTTATTTGATAATATTCATTAGGCCAGCTGCTCTCCATGCCAACAGCACAGTATATTTTGAAAGTAGAATGAAAGGTTGGATTTTAAGTGCAGTGTACCAGATAAATGGAGCCCATGCTTTTTCTCTAGATTGTTCGGCATGGTGGCAGTCTAGGCCTTGGTTTGGCTGCCATGGGGACCGCACGCCAGGATGTGTATGATTTGCTGAAAACAAACCTCTATCAGGATGATGCTGTGACAGGTAAGTGATTCTTTCCAAAGATGACATACTCTAGGATTAAGTAATGTAACTGTAACATTTGTTTTCTGCCTATATTTTGTGGTCTCTTAAAAATCTAATAGATTTCTTTACTTGTTCAGTTCAGTTCAGTTCAGTCACTCAGTTGTGTCCGACTCTTTGCGACCCCTTGAATCGCAGCACGCCAGGCCTCCCTGTCCACCACCACCAACTCCTGGAGTTTACTCAAACTCATGTCCATCGAGTCAGTGATGCCATCCAGCCATCTCATCCTCTGTCATCCCCTTCTCCTCCTGCCCCCAATCCTTCCCAGCACCAGGGTCTTTTCCAATGAGTCAACTCTTCACATAAGGTGGCCAAAGTATTGGAGTTTCAGCTTCAGCATCAGTCCTTCCAATGAACACCCAGGACTGATCTCCTTTGGGATGGACTGGTTGGATCTCCTTGCAGTCCAAGGAACTCTCAAGAGTCTTCTCCAACACCACAGTTCAAAAGCATCAATTTTTTGGCGCTCAGCTTTCTTCACAGTGCAACTCTCACATCTATACGTGACCACTGGAAAAACCATAGCCTTGACTAGACAGACCTTTGTTGGCAAAGTAATGTCTCTGCTTTTAAATATGCTATCTAAGTTAGTCATAACTTTCTTTTCAAGGAGTAAGCGTCTTTTAATTTCATGGCTGCAATCACCATCTGCAGTGATTTTGGAGTCCAGAAAAATTAAGTCTGACACTGTTTCCACTGTCTCCCCATCTATTTGCCATGAAGTGATGGGACCAGATGCCATGATCTTAGTTTTCTGAATGTTGAGCTTTAAGCCAACTTTTTCACTCTGCTCTTTCACTTTCATCAAGAGGCTAAAAAGTTCCTCTTCACTTTCTGCCATAAGGGTGGTGTCATCTGCATATCTGAGGTTATTGATATTTCTCCCGGCAATCTTAATTCCAGCTTTACTTGTAGAGGGAGTTAATTTTGCCACATTTATCAAATTTATCTTATAAAAATATGTTTTGTGATATATAGGCTTCTAAAAATAGTATATCTTGTGTATATGTCTATATTACTGACTTTTGCAAATAGAAATTTATTAGAGTGATCTCCTTGTATCCTGGGACTATCTATACTGCTTGGTGATAATGTAGAAAAAATATTGCCATAGTATCTCATTTGAAATCACTGCAGGATCTCATGGTGTATCCTATCACGGTTTAAAAGGAAAATAGCTATAAATATATGGGTGGACTTCCTTATGAACTATCCTCCTTTATATCTGATGACTTGAAAAAAATGCTACAGAAGCTGATGGTTATTTTGATAGTTGATAGTTGTTAATAATTAGCACTTCCAGTAGAATATGTTTTATTTACATACTTAAGTCTTATTATTTAATGTTTTGCTTTTTACTCACTAGGGGAAGCAGCTGGCCTGGCCCTAGGTTTGGTTATGTTGGGCTCTAAAAATGCCCAGGCTATTGAGGACATGGTTGGCTATGCACAGGAAACTCAACATGAGAAGATTCTCCGTGGTCTTGCAGTTGGCATTGCATTAGTGATGTACGGAAGGATGGAAGAAGCTGATGCTCTCATTGAATCTCTCTGCCGTGATAAGGTGAGATCACATATTATTCATCCTTTCCTCCCTGCTTTTCCTCACCCTCCAGTTGTTATATCCAACATTTACAGACACACTTAACCTTTACTAGAAATTATCTCTGTTCCCATCAGAACTCCTAGGTACATTAATCAATGAAACTTCTGGAAAGATATATAAAGCCTCATAAAATTTAGGCAAGAAAAACACTAATTAGAAGAGGTGAGCAGGGCTAATTTGAGAATTTTAAATTTAATTAAGACTTCAGTGGTTTTCAAATAAGCAGATTTAGAAAAGTTCTTTAGAAATTGTAAGTTGATTTATTTTAGAAATAATATTTTGGGGATGATTTCATAGTCATTTAATAGGATACAAGTTTTGCTTCATTGTTTTTTCATCACAAAACAGTGACCTTCTCTGTACTTATTTATTTGGACAAGTTTTTTTTTCCTTTGCCTTTTGTCTTGTTTTTTAAAAACTGAAAAGTGAAAGTTAGTCACACAGTCGTGTTCGACTCTCTGTGATCCCATGGACTGTAGCCTGCTCAGCTCCTGTGTCCATGGAACTCTCCAGGCAAGGGTACTAGAGTGGGTTGCCATTTCCTTCTCCAGGGGATCTTCCTGACCTGGGGATCGAACCCAGGTCTCCTGCACTGCAGGCAGATTCTTTACCAACTGAGTCACAAGGGAAGCCCCTGTCTTGTCTACCTACCGTATACAATATAGTAAAAATTGTTTTACTGTTGTAAAAACAGAAACCAAGATGTGGGTGTGTGTGTGTGTCTTGTTTTTACAGCAGTGAAACGATTTTTACTATATTACATATAGTAGGTAGACAGTGGTAAACAGTACTGTCCTCTGTAATCTGATAAAAAAAAATCCACTCCTATAGTTTATTGATAAAACTACTAATTATTTTGCTCAGCCATCAAACTCCATATCTCTTCCACTCATTGCTCAATGCCCAAGAATTAAGTGATAAAGGTAAAAAGCAAATTAGAATGTAGAATTAGAAGCAAGCTTCTTTGTTATTTGACAAATGAAAGAATCATAGGGCGTTTGGTATTGGGCTTGAGCTTATACGTCCTAAAAAGTGTGAGGCAGCATAGGTATGTTGCACAGAATACTGGGAATTAGAAGTAGTTAATTATTCCCATATTAGAGCCTTTAATTTCCCCATTTGTTTAGAAAACTTCCAACCACAAATCAGTTCTCTTTTAGTTCATTTTCTGCCTAAAACCAGCTCCCCTGATGGATGCAACTCAGCCTGTAAGAAGTTACTATTTGAAATAAGTTGATGATGTTGAGTTATTTCTTAGGATCCAATTCTTCGACGATCTGGAATGTATACTGTAGCCATGGCTTATTGTGGCTCAGGTAACAACAAAGCTATTCGACGCCTGTTACATGTTGCTGTAAGTATTCTAACCCTTTCTTGTATAGAGATGGAAGGGAAAGTTTGCAGATGGACCCTCAATGTGTTGATGACTGCAACACCCACACCACATAATCACCACCAGTGGTCTCAGATTCATATTCTCTTCCACTGAATACAGTCAGCCGTAACCGAGCACCAGGTTCACTTAGCTTTTCCGGGTAACGGTGTGTCTTATTTGCGTAGACGTCCTTAAAGTCATTCAGGGCACCTTCTGAAACTGTTCCAAGGGAAACGCTCATTAGTGAGAGACAAGACCATGTGAATGTGTGTAGCCACCCTAAGGCAGGGTAATCTGATGGACAATAGAAACAACTTCTTTTTTCAGCCTGTGAAGTTAGCCTCCAGGTAACCCTGAGGGACATGCTCTGTGACAGGAGACACACTGCCCAGGAGAGCCAGGGCCCATGTTTTCCAGTAGACTTTTCCACTCATAGTCACCCAATCCAGGTGTAGTTTTTCAGTGATGTTGCCTGATGGCACAGTGGACATTCCATATGTCTTCACCCAGTACATTTCTACCATCTTGGTGCTGGGAGAAGGTAGACCCAAGATCATCTTCCCATGCAAGAAAGGGTTTAGTACTACTATTATTTTTTTCTTCCTAGAGATGTTCACATCACCCAGTATTTATTAGCAATTTATTATTTATCAGTGCAACATGTGGTATGTTTTAGATGTTTGTCTTTTGCTTAAGTTTAGGGCATATTTTTTTTAAAACAACATTGAAGGAACGATTAGATTTTTGGTGTGGGCCACAAATGCTATGGTACAGCTGAAATAATCTTTAAAACTATCCCTGAATCTTAAACTTCACCAAGCTGTAAAGGCTTTTAAGTCTTGAAATGAATAAATTCTTAGATGAATCTTTCTAAATTTGGGTAAGACATTCTAATAGAGGAATATAGTAGTCCCCCACCTTATACTTGGATATATGTTCATAAGACAACCAATGGATGCCTGAAACCATGGATAGTACTGAAACATATACTGTGTTTTTTCATATACCTATATACATCCATACTTCTAGTAAAGTTTAATTTATAAAGTAGGCATAGTAAGAGAATACTCAAATTGCCAGTATCACCACTTCTGTGCTTTGGGGCCATTTTAAGTAAACTAATATAACCTTTATTAAGTAAACCATTATTAAGTAAATTAAATAATGTAAGTTAACTAAATAAATTTAACCATTATTAAGTAAACAATAATAAACTTTAAGTAACCATTATTAAGTAAACTAGAGGTTATTTGTGATCCTATGAACTGCAGCCCACTCGGCCCCTCTGTCCCTGGGAATTCTCCAGGCAAGAATACTGGAGTGGGTTGCTATGTCCTCCTTCAGGGGATCTTCCCAACCCAGGGATCGAACCCAGGTCTGCTGAATTGCAGGTGGATTCTTTACCAGTTGAGCCACCAGGGAAGCCCAAGAATATTGGAGTGGGTAACCTATCGCTTCTCCAGGGGATCTTCCCAACCCAGGAATCAAACCAGGGTCTCCTGCATTGCAGGCAGATTCTTTACCAGCTGAGCTACCAGGGAACCCCTATTTGAATATAAGCACTGTAATACCCCATGGGTCTGATAACTAAGTGGGTAACTAAGTGACTGATGGGTGAATGACCAGTACAGCTTGATACACTGACCAGAAGGATGAGTTATAGCCCAGGTGGGACAGAGTGGGACAGCATGAGATTTCATCTCAGTACTCAGAATGCATGCAGTTTAAAACTTGTGAGTTGTTTATTTCTGGATATTTCCATTCAATAAATAAATTCAGACCACAGTTGATTGTGGGTAACTGAAACTGCTGAAAGTGAAACTGAATAGGAAGATAGCTATGGTAATATACCAATGAGATCTAATTACATTAAAATTATGTGGGCCACTCATATCAGTTTATTCTAGTAATAGAATTCATGTAATATAATGATCGTAGTAATAGAATGCATGTAGTATATAATATAATCATCCTTTGAAATTTTTCCTAGGTAAGTGATGTTAATGATGACGTCAGGAGGGCAGCAGTAGAATCACTTGGGTTCATTCTCTTCAGGTAATAATTTCTAACTTCTGATTCTGTTTATATTCCATTTCTATTTGTAATTAGTAGTTACATAGCAACTGATTCTCTGAGAAATCTGTCTAGGTTCAGAATGTGGACCGTTTAATAATAGAGTTAGTGCTGTTCCTCTGAAAAAGAAGCCAGTATGTTTCAAGAGATTGGGATGCTATTTGAGAAGTAGTAGTCTTCTTCCCATGCATTGATATATTGGTAATTCAAATGGGATGCTGTCTTTCACACAGGCATGTAGAGTTCTTGAAGCTCTTTAATGAGAGTGAAAAGTAATAGGCTTTGTTAAAATGCAGAAGAGTGAAAAAATTGCAGATGTGGAGATGCCCATGGCATTATAGTATGGTTGTGATCCAGGGGACACACTCTGGAACCAACCTGCCAGAATTGAATCTTGGCTCTGCCACTTACTGAGTCACTCAAAGTCTGAGTGACTTAGAGCTTGTTACTTAGCCTCTTTGAATTTCAGATTCCTCATCTGTAAAAGAGGTAGAGTAATAGTATCTAAGACTGTTTTTTGACAATTGAGTGAGTTAATATATCTAAAGCCTTTAGAATGGTATCTGGCACTAGTAAGTGCTAGTCAAGTGGGTGTGAGTAGTGGCAATTGTTAATAGTGGCGGTAGATGCAGTAACACCTCTTAAAAATAGTTCTGCTCTCTGATCTCTCATAGTTTCTTTTCACTAAGGTACTTTATCTTAAAGTGCAACATAGGAAAATTAAAAATACTTCTTTCAGCTCTTTTTTTGGATACTGCTGGATATTGGATACTCTTTTTTTTTTTTTTTGGATATTGTGATGAAATTATACCGTAATGTAGGGATGGGAATCTGAAGGACAAGTAAGATGAGTTTCATGTTCTTTTAATCTCTGGTACAGATTTTCTACCCCAAGTTCCTGAAATGAACCTTTGTTGTAAAGATAATAATGTAATTCAACAAATAATATGTATATATAAATATTTTTTCCAACAAATATTCATTCAACATCCACTGAACTAGTTAGAGGACCTTCTCTGAGATGCAAGATAGAAAGTTAGCCGTTTACTGCAGACACTAAATACTTTTTTCCTATTTTGGTTAAAAATGTTGACTAAAACAGCAAAGCACAGATACATATAGCATGCTAATAGGTTTCTCCTTTCACCAGTCAGTTTTGTTGAAGGAGGTTATTTAACAAAATACTAATCTCCTTCAGTGTATTATCCTCTAACCCTCATTTGCCCAGCTTGTTCACAAAGACACTGGAGAGCTTTCTCTAAATCCTGAAGACGTGGTATTTATACAGATCTGGTTTTCTTGACTGGGAAATTCCATGAACAGAGGAGCCTGGAGGGCTACAGTACATGGGGTCGCAAAAGAGTTGGACACAACTTAGTGACTAAAAACTAGTCTGGTACCTCTAAAACAGAGTATGTGGTTAATTGGTTATTACTGTTTTTAGTAAATTCATAAGAAGTATCAGGTGTTCATTGATTTCTAAGATCTGATAAAACTTCTTTGTATTAAGCTATTCCATGTTTTTTTCAGAAGATCTACAACAGACTCCACAGTTTAAATTTCTTGATTCCCATCCCTTTTTTCTCTTTTTGAATGTTAGGATATTTGCCACTTACAGTCCTTTTGTACCTTTGCCATTTTCTGTTTTTCCTCAGATTTGTCAGCAATGATTCTATAATTATTTTCACAGGTTCTGTTTCAGGGATGTGATTCATTTAGCTTAGAGACTTGAACCCATTTAAGGTAGCCAGTCTCTTCACCTATTTTACATTTTGATCAGTTTTAACAACATTACTTTTTCTGGTCTAAAAATCCTTCTCTTGAGACAAAAGATGGAAGCAGAATAGAAGCTGAGTAGTTCTGTTTCCTTCCTGTTGTCTTTGGCCTATCATTCCAGCCAACCTGTGATGCTAACCTTTCCTTATTTTTGCTGTAAGTTTAGACACAATTTAAAAACAAAAATAAATGGTTTTATTTTTGCCTTTTAGGGAGGGCTTTTTATGAGATGATAATTTTCATATGAGAAATATATTCTTTTAGGTGTACCCTTAGTAACTATTGGCCTGTATAAAGAATCTTACTCATCACGGTCTCTTCCTTTATTTATTCATTATCGGCTACTAATTCTTCCTGTTAGTCACCTTATATTTTATATCATATAACTCAGTCACCTCCTGTGTATATTCTGCCACACAGGAAGTAGAGCTTTCATGAAAACTGTTTTTTTTCCCTTTTTAACCTGACCGTGCTTTGATCTCTAATTAGCAAAATTCATTTCTGCCCTTGTATTTACTGTAGCTCACACACATGCTCAATTCCCAGTTTCAGCAGCAGATGTCTTCCTTGAGCTGCTTTTAGGCTTTGCTAAGATCTCTACCACCGAGACTACTACCAAGGATACTCAGATCCAGCTAATGAATTACGTGCTTTTTATTTCTAAAAGGCTATTCATGGTTTTGGTGTGTGTGTGTTTCCATCATAATATGATTCTTATAAGAAGTAGAAACTAGAAGAGATGTTAGGAATGCTTTTGTCTAAAATGTCATGGATGAAGAAAATTAAATGTAATCAACTTGTCTAAGGTGCTGCAGTGAAAACCAAGTTCTCAAATTATTAATAACTAGTAAATGACACGGATTGGATTTATTCCACATCTAGCAGTGCAAAGTAAAATGACAAACAGATGAATAAAAAATTCTGTGCCAGAAGTTCAACCAATTCTTCAAGCAAGCTGGGGCAGCCATGATCTTATTTACAAATTTATTAAAGTTTGGGTTCCTGGATTAAAGTCCCGTGCCTTCAGTTTACACATGCTCTTTGAGAAACATAAAGTTCATGTACCCAAGACTGTTTTCATTTGCTTTTTCTTCCTCTGGTAAACCTGCCTTTGCTCAGTAAATGTCTGGTATGAGCCATCTAACCAACAGCTGTAATTCCAAGATCCTATTCTTTTGTGTGATAACCAGCCACTGTCCTCCCTACTACCCCGTTTCATCAAGACAGTTGCCTGATCAGTGCAAAATTGTGGCTGCATTTAACTAAAGTGAAAGTGAAAGTGTTAGTCACTCAGTCATGTCCAACTCTTTGTGGCCCCATGACCTATAGTCCGTCAGGTTCCTCTGTCCGTGGAATTCTCCAGGCAGGAATACTGGAGTGGGTAGCCATTCCCTTCTCCAGGGGGTCCTCCTGGCCCAGGGATCGAACCTGGGTCTCTTGCATTGCAGGCAGATTGTTTACTATGGGAAGCACCAGGGAAGCCCACATTTAACTAAGCCTAAATGTAAATGGCAATCTTAGCTTATCTTCAGCTGTGATCATTATTTTATACTCTTATTTTTAGACCTCTTAACACTGTTGTTCTGTGTTATGCCTTATGCTTTTAAGGCCTTGAAGACAAGGTTAATGCTTGTTTGTTTTGTTTATTTCATTCTTGGCATAGCTTTGCATGCAGTTAGGAACTAAATAAATTCTTATGGTAACATTGTTTTTTTGTATGGTGACATTGTTTTTTTCTAAACAAGTTTATTGATTTATTTATTTTATTTCATTTGACTATCTTAACATTTAACCAGGGTGCTGGATTGTTTTAATTTTCAACTATACAAAAATGATTTTTTATTAATAATAGAATAATTTTGCCCAAATAAAGAAAATTGTATAATCTTAATACATAATTCTTAATTTAAAGAGATGATTTTTGATACATGATATAAAGTTCTTTATATAATTCTTGGTATATTTATATTTTCCTCATCATCTTACTCATCATTATATTAAAATTGTGCCATTACGGCTATACATAACTGATTTGCTCTTCAGCTTTGTCACCTTCATTTTCGGTGAGGAGAAGTGTATCTAGTAAAATGATGGATGAAGACTGAATGGTTGAACCTCGGAGCCTCATTGGGCTCTGGTGCATGGCAGGATTAATGCCATTTCGCATTCCATGTTTCATAAAAAATATAGAGTTCTCTGCCATTGGATTCCGGAAGTAGATATTACTGGAGCATTTTTCAAGGGTTTTTACTGATGTGGTGGCTCGGTAATTGCAGGTGAGGTACCGGCCAAATGCATCCCGAAATGTCTTGTTGAAGAGGGTGTAGACCAGAGGATTCACCCCTGAGGAAACATAGCCTATCCACACAAATATCTCCAGGAGCATGTTGAGAGTCGTCTGGTTGCACGAGTCACATAAAACTAAAGTTACATTTGTAATAAAAAAGGGGCACCACATAAGTAAAAAGAGGAAGAATACAATCCCAAGAACCTTTGAGGCTCTCTGTTCATTGGAAATGGTCTGCACTGACCTTTTTCCTACTGTGGATATTCTTCGCATTAGTATGTCAGCACTTGCATTGGGCAGAGTTTTGTCCTTATGAAAACCATCCAGCATTGCCACTTTTTCTGGTGATGAGCAAGGTGTTTCATCCCTTTGGAAAACTGTGGACACAGTCAACCACGTTAGGCGTTGAGGTGGCTTGTTTTTGACCAAGTAAGCTTTCTTCTGTAAAGCATGGATAGTGAGAAAGTAGGTGACAATCATGATGGTCAGAGGTGTGAAGAAGGAAGCCAGTGAGCCAAAGAGCATGAAACTGCCAAAACGATCCTTTGTCAGCCCACAGGTGATGTTGTGTGGGTTAGCTACATCAGTTTCTATCCCTTTAATAGGAACTGGAAGGGCAATGCCTAAGGAAAACAAGATAAACTGAGTTATGACCTTTGATTAGGTCCTTTTAAAGTTTGTCTTACTGACATTTCACTATTAGTATATGTTAATTCCTGGTACCCACAAGGCAGAATCAAAGCACTTAATGGAAGATTTGACAAACAGAATCTAAGTAAGGCAAATCCACTGTTTTTAAAGAGTGGTTTCAGTTATATAATTAAAGCGTCCCTAAAACTATATTGTACCCATGATATAGAGAATGTTTTTATATATTCTCCACTTCTCAGTATCTGTTTTTGGTTCTTGAGCTATCCCA